TCTAATGGATCAGAGACCTAAATGTAAAACCTCAAACCATAAGAACCTTAGAAAATGAAAGACATACCCTCATGGAAATTGGAACTGGCATCCAATTCCTGAACAAAACCCAAAACCCACAGGCCATAAGAGATAAGATAGACAAGTGGGACCTCATTAAACTGACAAGCTTCTGCAAAGCCAAAGAAACCATCAAGAGAGCAGGGAGACAGCCCACAGACTGGGAAAAAGTATTTGCCAACTCCAGGTTTGACAAAGGCTTAACATCTTGGATCTACAAGGAACTCAAACGTGCTGAAAAGAAAAAAACAAACAACCCCATTATAAAATGGGCAAAAGATATGAACAGACGCTTCTCAAAGGAAGACATCCGAGCAGCCAACAGACACATGAAGAAATGTTCAACCTCACTAATCATCAGGGAGATGCAAATCAAAACCACACTGAGATTCCACCTAACTCCAGTCAGAATGGCAATTATCAATAATTTAAAAAGTAACAGTTGCTGGAGAGGGTGTGGAGAAAAGGGAACACTTCTACACTGTTGGTGGGAGTGTAAACTAGTGCAATCTCTGTGGAAAGCAGTGTGGCAATTCCTAAAAGCTCTAAATATCAACCTTCCATGTGACCCCCCAATCCCCCTACTGGGAATATACCCTAAAGAACTCAAATCACTCTATAAAAAAGACACCTGCACACGTATGTTTATCGCAGCATTGTTCACAATAGCAAGAACCTGGAAGCAACCATGCTGTCCATCAAAAGAAGACTGGATTTTAAAAATGTGGTGCATATACACGATGGAATACTACGCAGCCATAAAAAAGAACAAAATCATGAATTTCGCAGGAACCTGGATGGAACTAGAGTCTATAATACTGAGTGACCTCTCACAGAAACAAAGATCTGAGTATCACATGTTCTCACTCATATAGTGGACCTTGATCATCCAACATATTACCATAAGAAAATGACTGACAGTGGTGGGAAACTATGGCGGGGGGAGGGGAAGGGAGATGGGATTAATGGTAGTAAATATCTGTCTGGGGACGGGGAGACACCTCTTATTAACAAGGGTGCCTGAACGAAGCATATTTGTATACCTAACCCTTAACTGTACCCCACAATATCATAATAAAAAATATGGATTATAAAAAAAAAAAGAATTTTTCAGTAAGTGTAGTCAATTAAAATTTGTTTTTTAAAAAGTCTTCACTAAAATTAATCACCCAAACCAGAAACCACTGCTATTACTGAAAATGATGAACAATGCACTAGTAATATCTGGGCAAAGGAAACACAGAAGTCTAAGCAAGGCTCCTTTCTAAGATCATGTGATCATACTTCTCTAAAAAAGTAACCACTAGGTCCTGAAGTCATCTGGATGTTAACTATGGGACGGTTGGTTCAACACATAACCACAGGAATTGTTCAACATTTAGAGAACACATCCTCAGCTCAGAGAAAGAGCTAAAGGTATTTCTAATAGAAAGCATACTGCTTACTGCTCCTCCAGGGACTGAGGTTGATTCTTCTTAGAGTGAAGCATTCCTCATTAATAGAACAAAATAGCATGTCTGCGTCCATTTTTCTTCTCATTTGAATTAAGAAGGAGTGGAGGAAGAGTAGGAAGGAGGGGAAACTCAGAGATACTTTCAGTATCTAAAGTTGTAACAGACAATCAAGAACACATTATCAGAGTGCTGGAAAGAGCCAACAGCCCCTACCCACACCAGTCCATGTCCACACTTGCCACAGACACTGGCTGGAGCACAGTAAACCGTTCTTCACAAAGTGGGGAAGGAAAATCAGACAGGAACTTACGTGTAAAAAATCCCTTCTATCCTCCACTTGCACATGGCCTATTCTTATATAACCCAAGGAGATATCTAGAAATGTGGTAATCAATTTAATTTTTAATTTAAATTTTTTAAAGCTCTAATTTAAGTCTTCCAAGAGTTTCCAGTCATGGATACTGCAGATGATATTGCTGCTGACAAAAGAGTCTTCGAAATCTTAGCTGAGACATTCAACAGTCTCCCTTGGCGTATGCTCTGATGGCAGCAAGGTCTCCTTGCCCCCACCCACCATGTAGAATTCCAGTGCCCTCCGCAGCCCTCGCATAGCAAAGCATGTCTGCTGGCAATGAGCCCTCATTCACTGTTCTCACTTACTTGTGTTTGGTTTCCCAACACTAAACTTTGAAATTTGAGAGGAAGGAAAGAAAGAAAGAGAGAGAGAGAGAGAGAGAGAAAGAAAGAAAGAAAGAGAAAGAAAGAGAAGAAACCACATCCTTTCTACTCTCCACATATAGGTAGAGGCAGTCAAGAACTGAAAACAGAATTTCACATTGTTTGACGTGGGAACATCAGCCACAATGAGAAACTCCTGTACATTTCTGGCATCCTCTCTCTCAATTGTCATTTTTCTCCTGCTAATTCCTGAAGGTAAGACTGATTCTTGTTATTTCCATTATGACCATGAAGCGAAATGGAGCAGACTTATAATGAACTTTGGTAATATTACCTGCTTATACTGAAAGGAGATTTTTCCCCAACTCTTAAAATGTTTAGCATGCTGAGCTGTGTACAGTAGCACAATCCTGGAATCCCAGCTACTCAGGAGGCTGAGACAGGTAGATCAGTTTAGCCCAGGAGTTCTAGTCTAGCCTGGGCAACATAGAGAGACCCCATCACACACACAAAAAAAAGTTTAGCATCCTCTCTTGGATTCTGAATATTTATTTATATTAGAAGAAAAAGGATTTTTTTCTTCTTATAATCTCTTTACAAAAGATAACAGACCCACCAATGTTTATTGAAGCTTGCCCAAAAAAGACAATGTAAAAATGAGCAAATAAAATGTTCTTGAGTTTGTGAGACAAACAGTACCTTTCAGGAAAAGAATAGTGGTACCTTAGCCAGTTTAGCCTTTCTTGCTGCAGAAAATGAATAGATATTTTTAAAGGCAATTAGACAAATCTGACCTAGACATCAAAATTAAATCAGAAATGATTCAAATTTTTATAATCATTTCTCTGGGCTAGAATCTTCTTGGGAATACATCAGGACATTGGGCCAGTTCTCATATCAGTGCTATGGCATTTTTTTATTAGACTATTTCTTTGGTATACTAAATAGCAACCAGTATTTCTGCTGTAATGTGAGTTCCACATGCAAGGGTTGAAATGCCATAAATGCCATGGCATTATAACCAGAAGGGTAAGAGCTCCTGGGTAGCTCTAGATTTCCTTTCAAGAACCTGTGAGGAAGTGAGGGCTACTCTGGAGCTGTGTCAAAGTGGAATAAGCCATGGTTTTTCTCAAAGAGCCCATCAGTATTTAGAGGTGGGAGCAGTGGATAGGGGCTTATTATAATATCCTGACTTGTCATGAATTCCCAAAGTTCTCTGGTTTATCTTGCACCCAAAAATGAGAAGAAATTTAAAAGTAACAAGGTTCCAAGACATCTGGGACAAAAGAATGAGCATATTATAAGCATGGCATGATATGGCTATATAGATTCAGGCATGTGAAATCCTCCATAACAGTGAAAACAGGGCAGATGAAAAATTCAATCATATCTTTCCTTCACAAGAAACAACAGCAACTTTCTCTGCTGCACTTTGTTTCCTGTGTTCAGAGAAAGCAACACAGGCCCATAAAGGGAACAGGTACAGCAAAGCAAGACTTGATGCTCTGGGCCAGTGGTCTCAACTACATTCATGTTAGAATAATCTGGAGGACTTTGAAAAGATACTGACATGGCAACTCCAACCTCAGAAATTCTAATTTAATTCTGAGCAGATACCAGGAACTTCTAGTTTTTAAAAGTTTCTCTCCTACTCTAAACCCTCTACCAGGCCCTTCTCAGAGTGGTTGGGTGCAGGAGACATGGTCTTATTTCTGAGGCTGGTATTAATATATGTCTCACCAAACAAACATGGAACTCTGCAAAAGGGAATGTTTTATTGAGTTTCTGATTTCTGCAGCCCATGTGATATCTATCTGTCCATGAGTCACCCAAGGAAAAATTGGGATGTGGATAGTTTTCTAGAAACTCTTTACCCCTTTATTTCTAGAGCCAAGAATTTATTTCTCTCAACTCCCTTCTGGAAAGCAAAGACCTTGTGGTCACTCTCTTCCCCTTGCGCTCACCATCAGCAAATCTTAGGAAAGGCTCCTCTAGTTATTGTGTATACCTTTCTGTGAATTTGTCAACTCGTTGATCTTAATTATGGAATAAGAGGCACTGTGCCCTATTCAAGAAAACACGAATCTCAGCCAAGGGTCAAGAGAAGTACCAAGAACAGAAGGTAGAGAAGTTAGAGGGCTGAGAGTATACCACTAAGACATAAAGTCCTCTCAGCCAGCGTGGTTGGTTTTCCTTGTGTTTAGTTCTCATTGTTCTCTAACAAGGGGTCTGTAACTTCTAGTTTATCATCAAGGAAATGTCACTAAGGCAAAATTATCTGTTTATAGCATATTCTTTCCTCCCTTCCCTCCTCACTGGAAAAGACCTTAGATTAAACCATGTGGTTTGGTCTGGGGACTGAAGGAGAGACAGGTGCAATTGATGTTATATTCTCAACTTATGAGTAAGGACAGTGCAGCTTAATAACCAAAAGACTCACGGTGACCAAAGGACTCATGAGTACGGTCACAACTAAAAGGTGCTAATATCAGTTTATAAGCTGTGTGTTCACAAGGGCTTAGGGTGCAAAGGAAAATTCGCAGGACTCTAAAAATCCCCTCTGTTTCCCCCAAATTAATACTCAGCCAAGGGGTAGAGGCACTCGAGGCTGTCATCACCACTGGCAGCTCCTGTAGTAGCTATTGCTGGTAAAGACCAAGACACAGCTCTCTCTACCTTGGGGCCTGAGGGTGGTGGTTTGTGACATCCAGTCTGATGATCTCTGGAACAACCAATGGCATGGCTTCTGTAGGCAGAAGAGCAAAACCCTCTCAGTATCCAAAAGAAATAGAAGCTGGGAAAAATGCTGTCATCCAGTCTTCCTTTCCAAGTGCAAGAAGCATGACTGGTCTTAGAGACATGGCTTTGTGTAGAGTTCTTTGGGCACCAATCTGATTTGCCTTTTTCTATTCAACAGATGTCTGTGTAGACATTATTGGAGGAAACGAGGTAACTCCTCATTCAAGACCCTACATGGCCCTACTTAAATTTGGGAGAAAAATCTGTGCTGGTGCTTTGATTGCAAAAGACTGGGTGTTGACTGCAGCTCACTGTGATCTGTAAGTGCTCAGTTTTTTTTTTAAATTGCTTGTGAAGATATTCTAATTTGGGAAACATTAAGAAAGAAGTAAGCCAGGCTCGGTGGCTCAGCCTGTAATCCCGCGCCTTTGGGAGGCTGAGGTGAGTGGATTGCCTGAGCCCGCGGGTTCAAGACCCGCCTGGACATGCAAGACCTCATCTCTACAATAAATCAAAAAATCAGCCCGGCGTGATAGCGCATGCCTGCAATTCCGGTTACTCGGAAGGCTGAGGTGGAAGGATCGCCGGAGCCCAGCTCCAGTCTGGGTGACAGAGTGAGACTCCAACTCAAAAAAAAAAAGAAAGAAGTAGATCCCACCAAAGCCATGGGAGGTTCATGTGTGTTTTCACATCACTTAAGTCTTTGGGCTCTTGCCTTAGCCCAACAGGAAGTTAAATCCAGGCTTGCCACAAAGAATCAGACCAATGAAGAAGCAGCATCCATAAGCTCTTTGTGTAGGTCTCCACTGGAACCACTGGGAACAAGTGCTGCAATGCGTTGCTTCTGGTCTTGACCATGTGATGGGGTAGAATTAGCCAGAGCATGGAAGGGTAAAACCTTTAGTGCCTCCTCAGAGGCCTGAGTACAATTGTCAAGCAAAGAAAATTTGTTTCCAATACCTTCCTGTATCCCTCAGTGAATTCCTCTCACACCTTCAGCTATCTCTCAACTGCTGTTGATGACTACCTTCAAACTTCTTCTAGTCCTGACACAGTGGCTCATGCCTATAATCCCAGCATTTTGAGGGGCTGAGGTGGGAGGATTGCTTGAGCCCAGGAGTTCAAGATCAGCTTAGACAACATAGCGAGACCACATCTCTAAAAAAAATTTAAAAATTAGCCAGGCATGGTGACCAGACCTGTAGTTTCAGCTGAGGCAGGATAGCTTGAGCCCAAGAGTTCAAGGCTAAGTTGAGCCGTAATCATGCCACTGCACTCCAGCCTGGGCAACAGAGTGAGACCCCAACTCAAAAAAACAAAAAGCAAAAAAAATCCACTTCCCAGGACTGTATTTTTTTTCTCCACTTCCTAAACCAACCTCTTAAACTGAGCTGTCTAATGATAGCCACTAACTACATGTAGCTGTGTAAGTTTAAATTAAGTAAATAAAATTTCAAATTTAGTTCCTCAGTCACACTAGGTCACACATTTCTTCAGTAGCTTACATGTGGCTAGAGACTACTATACTAGGCAATGCGGATTTATGGAACATTTCATCATCAAAGTATACTCTACTGGAAAGCACTGTTCCGGTGTCTTTTTATTTCAATTTTTTAACAAATGTATTTATTATTGATATATAATAGCTGTACATATTTTGGAGATACATGTGATATTGTGTCTTAAGTGAAACTATCTCAGCTGGTGCAATAGAAAAAAGGCAGTGTGAACATATGGCAAGTGTAGTTTCTGCCAGGTTGTGAATGATGATAGCCTTAATCATTAGCACATCAGAGAGAAATTTGATTTTATTAACCTTTAGCATGGAGTAAGAGAAAGACAGACTCCTGGATCCCTCCTTCACACCACCATCTTCCCTCACCCCAACATATATCACTCAACACCAGGCAAACAGAGCAATCGTTTCTGAAAGTTTGTCCACTTGAGACGAGTTTGTTGTTCCCTTATAGAGATCTCTTCAGTGCATTACTTCCCAACTATCAGCTGCTTTTGGTTCTGTCTCTGGACTACTGGGAACTTTGTTTTCCAGTAATCTGTAGCCTAATTCTCCATCACAGGTAAATGAGGCATGGTGAGAGGATAAGCACAAGACTTGGCTCCTGGCTCTGCTGTCATGGAATTCTCTTGTTTTTCAGTGAAACTAGTTTAGCTTTGTATAAATAAGCTGCTGGCAGTGGTGGTGATGATGATGATGATGACAGTGATGATGACTGATGAATTTATAAACATCTTAACTTTTAATTCTTTAAAGCACACATTTTCTTTCTGAGCCACAGAGTATCTCCGTGTCAATATTTACAAATGGAATGCTGAAACTGATCACATATAATACGCTCAGCTCCTGATTTTAAAAATAAACTCAGTAAATATAGTGTTATGTCTGTTCTCAGATACAAACAGTCCCAAGTCATCCTTGGGGCTCACTCAGTAACCAAGAACGAACCAGAAAAACAGATAATGAATGTGACGAAACAGATTCCATATCCATGCTATGACCCAGACTCTCATGAGGGTGATCTTAAACTTTTAAAGGTATGTACTTTTGATTATCTTAGAAGTCAGAAGAATCTATAATCTGGCCACCCACATGGAAACCTTTCCTCAGGGCTCCTATTTTTACCAACTCACATAAGGGAGTCCCTGAAGGCTGGGCTATAATTTAAGTAAAAATGCTAATATCTCATTCTATGAACTCTGTATGCTTCTTCTTTATGCTTGTCTTCGAATAGCTGAATAAAGAAGCAAAAATTAACAAAAATGTGGCCATCCTTCATCTACCTACAAAGGGAGATGATGTGACACCAGGAACCATGTGTCAAGTTGCAGGATGGGGGAAGACTCAGAATCATTCACAGCACAACTCCAATACTCTGAGAGAAGTCAATGTCACCATCATAGACAGAAAAATCTGCAATGATCCACAGCACTATAGTTTTAATCCTGTGATTGGACAGAATATGATTTGTGCTGGAAGCCCCCGAGGTGCAAAAGACTCATGCGATGTAAGTAAAACAAGATTCCACATTTTAGCCATTGGAATAAGTCATGCAGATGCAGAAAATGTAATGCCATGCTTTATCCTGTTATGGCACTAGTCTCTACAGGATTCTTGTGCTATTTGAAAGAAGTTTGGGCCGGGCTCAGTGGCTCAGCCTGTAATCCCAGCACTTTGGGAGGCCGAGGCGAGTGGATTGTCTGAGCCCGCGGGTTCGAGACCAGCCCAGGCAACTTGGCAAGACCTCGTCTCTATAATAAATCAAAAATTAGCCAGGCAGAGTAGCGCACACCTGTAGTTCTGCCTACTTGGAAAACTGAGGCAGAAGGACTGTCAAAGCCCATCAGGTTGACACTGGGGTAGCCATGAGCGTGCCACTGTACTCCAGCCTGAGCGATGGAGTGAGACCCCCAGCCCTAACCCTAACCCAATCCGTACCTTTCCCCATCTCAGCACTCCACATAAATTCCTCTACCATTTAACCTGGGTTTGTCTGAAATGCCTACCATTCCCAAGCCTTTCTGAGGGCCTCAGGCCAGATCCCATAGCTTTCTAGAGTTTACCTTAATCCTCAGTAAAAAAAACTTTCAAGCTCAGCTCATACCAGAGAATGTAGACACCTCCATCCAGAGTCCCCTGAGGAGGAGGAGGAGGACAGGGCCCTGCTTAAAGACAGGAAAAGAAACACTCTACAGATTTCTTAAGCTCTGAGTACTAGCTTGTCATTTCTCATTTATTCCAAAGACCTTACAGAGTCTGACCCGAAGAGCAGGAGGGTGTAGTGTGAGTGGTTTGGGAGTTATTAGAGGTTGAAAGATCCAGAAGTCTCTGCCTTTCCCAGGAGCTGTCTTCCCCTCAAGAGTAAAGCTCTCCAGATCCCAGGAAAATAGGACATTTTTCTTTAGCATCCTTCTACTTTCTCTTCTTTGCCCTCCTTCATCCATTCCCTTCCTTGTCCACCACTTTTGACCCTTGGGAACCCAGAACCTTCATGTTTGGAGGACACACATGCAACTTCCTAACTCTACGGCAGGATCTCAAGACACTAGTCCCCCTTCCACTGAAGCTTAGCAATCCTTCCTCATTCTCTCCGTGCTCTGGAATTGGCTGCTGATGAATTAAACCTTAAAGGACTAATTTTGCAAATGCCAAGCACTGTAACAGGCAGGGACAATATACATGCCCAGGGAGAGCCCCAGGTTTTCACAGGGCTCCTTGTTTCGTACACTCATAAGGCCAGATTTTGCCTGAAAGGGATTGCTTTTGTTCTGTTTCTTTGGGATGACAATTATCCAGTGGAGAAATCAGAAAAATAGTTTTTATTCTTTGCCTCAATGTATAATCTGCATTTGACTATCTTACCCCTTGAATTGTCAAGCATTTTGAGAAAATAACAAACAGGTTTCTTTTTTCTGAAAGCAAAGAATCAGTCTCAAAATTAGTTGATAACATAAACAAGTTTTATTTCTATTTTCACTGGTTCATAAGTAAACCAAGAGAGCCAATACAAAAATATAAAAATATTTCTAAACCTTTTGATATTTTAAGCATGAATTTTCAATTAAGTCGTGTTGGTTTTAACTCCATATTAAATGCTGCAGAATTTCTTCCATTTCCCTAGTGGTAAGGCTTAACACTGACACTGTCCCCCCACCTCTCGTTTACCTCAGGGAGATTCTGGAAGCCCTCTGCTGTGTGACGGTGTTTTCCGAGGCATCGCTTCCTTTGGCCGTGAAAAGAAATGTGGAGACCCTCGAAGCCCCGGTGTCTATATTTTTCTCTCAAAGAAATACCGCAACTGGATAATTAGGACTATCAAGGGGGCAGTCTAGATAATTGTATTTCATTTCATTTGCTGTCATTTCTTAATCTTTTTACAAATAAGATCAATTTGTATGGCCATACTCGTTTCTCCTCTATAACCTTAGTAGGCAGATCTCCACCCACAAAGTGAAGCAGAGTCATATGGCAACCTTGTGAATAATGCAAGGGGGAGATTAGGGGACCGATGTTACCAGCAACACCCATGTGTAAGTGACATAGGAATTCTTCCTGAATTGTTTACTTCACTACCTCAGTGGGATCCAGCAGGAGTGACCCTAAGATCAGGTCTGTCTAATAACAAGTACACTAAAGAACTCAGCAATTCTGCAGGAAACAGAAATAACCAGTAGGAAGCACTTGGGTTAAAAGGAAATAAGTCTGCCCTTCAAAGGCCCTTTCTCCACAATGACACCAGCTATTCATCGTTAGATGCAAGACCTGAGTCTATGTGAGAAACAGAAACAAGAAATTCCTTGTAGTATAGGCAGGTGAGAAATAGAAATTAAAATTTTAGGAGATACAAAGTGCTTGGCAAGTCAAGAAAATTATACAACAGAAAGTCAGCCTTCTTTCTCAGGACCTTGGATTATCTAGGTGATTTCTCAGTTCTTATCCTTGAGCCTGGGCAGGTCCATTCAACATGGTGGTTACAGTGGCTACCTACCATCCATAGTAGGGAGTAAGTGTTGAATTTTGTCCAGAAGGTTGTCTTTTAAAAAAGCCCCCCAACAATGTTTTTCAGCATTTTGAATTTAGTAGTTATCAGTCCAACAGTGATTTTAAAATATGATTATAGAAACTGATTTCTTCAATTTCTATCGGTCCTTTTAGGAATACAGATTACATGTATTTTATATGTATATACATATGTGTGTAAATATATGTATGTGTATATATATACATACATGCATACACACAAATATATACATATAATACGTTGTATATATTTGAACCAAGAACACACAGCAACACTGAGAGACAGTCTCCTAAACTAAGGAAGAAACATGGCTTAAAAACTGACTAAAATACTAGTACATTGGTTTTCAACCATGGCTGCTCATTAGACTCACCAGGCTCTTTAAAATTACCAATGCCCAGGCCCCATCTCTGGAGATTATGATTTAATTAGCATTTGGTGGAACCTAGGAGGTTATTTTTTCTATGAGCTCCCCAGTGATTCTAATATGCAGCCAGGGATGAGAACCTTTATACTAGAAACTGAAGTCTGGTGGCAATATCTAAAAGAGAGCCTATAAGAGTCACTGGGATTTTTTTTTTTTTTTTTTTTTTTGAGTTGGAGTCTCACTCTGTCCAGACTGGAGTGCAGTGGCCACTCCCGGCCACCGCAGCCTCGACCTGCTGGGCTCCGGCGATCCTTCTGCCTCAGCCTTCCAAGTAGCTGGAACTACAGGCGCGCGATACCACGCCTGGCTAATTTTTTTGATTTATTGTAGAGATGAGGTCTCGTCAAGTTGCCCAGGCAGGTCTCGAACCCGTGGGCTCAGGCAATCCACTAACCTCAACCTCCCAAAACGTGGGATTACAGGCTGAGCCACTGAGCCTGGCTTCACTGTGATATTTAAGATACCTGCTACAATCTCTAATTCCTAATTAGGATTATAACTGCAATAAGAGGATGGTATATTCCCCACCAGCAATATTTATTACAGATGTTGAACTCTGTTTAAAAGGCAATTGCATGGAATCCTCATTTATTGCTGGTGAAAGTGTAAATTGGTACAACTTCTTAGGAAAATTGGCAGTGGCAGTGTCTACTAAAACTCAACATACACATATCCTATGAACTAGCAATTCTGCTCCCAAGTGTACACCAAACAGAAATGAGTGCTTTTGTCTACCAAAGATGTGTTCGGGAATATGCACAGCAGCTTTATTCTTAAAAGTCAAAACTGAAAATAGCTCAAATAGTCATCCACAATACAATGGATAAACAATTGTACACTCATACAATCAAATATTACACAGCAATGAAAAGAACAAACAACAGTTACATGCAACACAAACTTTATGTTGAGTAAAAGACATGAGACAAGAATAGAAAAGGTATGTTTCCATTTATCTGAAGGCTGGCATAAGGAAAAACTAACCCCTAGGGGCAGAGGTCAGAATAATGGAGGAGTGCTGACTGGGAGAAGGCACAAGAGAGCCTTTGAAGGCACTAGAAATGTTCATATCTTGATCTGGATAGTGATCTACTCACAAATTCAAAACTTAAGCTATAAACTTAAGATATATGCTTTCCTATGTGTGAATTATTACTTAATACATTTTAAAATACAAAATTTAAAAATTAGTTGTAGTCGGCCCAGCTCAGTGGCTCAGCCTGTAATCCCAGCACTTTGAGAACCGAGGTGAGTGGATTGCCTGAGCCCACAGATTCGAGACCAGTTCAGGCAACTTGGCAAGACCTCATCTCTACAATTAAAAAAAAAATTAGTCATATTCAAGGCTTCTGTTTTGAGAGTTACCTGGAAGTTTACTTTTTTCTTTATGAAAACTATATCCCAAACCTTCCACCAAAATTAATAGCAGGTAAAATTTACATCAATTTTTTTTCTTTTTAATGAGAGCCTCTTATTCACCTACCAGTATTAATTGAAATAAGTGGCCTTTGGTCATAACATAATGTCATGTGAGTATTAAGACAGGAGTACTGAGAACAGAGTGGTGGGGGACAATGAAAATGGTTGGATCATTTTGCTCATTTTCTCCTAAACATTTTCTTACAATTTATATTTGGTTCATTAAAAAGATCAAATTAGCCAGGCTTGGTGGCTCAGCTGGTAATCCTGTGCTTTGGAGGCTGAGGTGAGTGAATTGCCTGAGCCCACGGATTCAAGACCCGCCTGGGCAACTTGGCGAGACCTCATCTCTACAACAAATCAAAAAAATTAGCTGGGCATGGTAGCATGCGCCTGTAGTTCCAACTACTTGGAAGGCTGAGATAGAAGGATTGCTGGAGCCCAGCAGGTCGAGGCTGCGGTGGCTGGAAGTGGCCACTGCACTCCTGCTTGGGTGACAGAGTGAGACTCCAACTCAAAAAAAAAAAAAAAAAGATCAAATTAAAACAATTAGCTTAAAGAAGAAGAGAGTATGTATTGCTTACAGAAAATTATCACATTTGTGGCTTTTGGTGGACTAAAATTTTCTAAGGCAAAAAAAAAAAAAAAAAAACCAGGGAAAAGAAAATAATATTGACAAATTAACACAATCTAGCAGGAACATCCTAAGTTTCCTTGTATACACAATTCCACATTGAATTATCAAAGGTTTTGTTTTGTTTTATGGATTTTGTGGGTATGTATTGGTAAAAAAAACATTTTATGACAAAGAAAAAAAATCAACCAATATTTGTTTTCTGGCATATGTAGAATATTCTAAGGAGCTCCAAAAAGTATAATGCACACTCCCTTAACCCCTCAATTTAATTGTCTAGAGCCAAATAAGCATGTTAAAACTAAAATAACCAAAAATCCACATAGAAATGAAAGATTTTCTAAAAGTAATTACAATAGTATCTTACTACCAAATAGGTGATACAGACTAATGTCAAGAATTCAAACACAGAACCAAGTGTGGCGGCTCACACTTGTAATCCCAGCACTTGGGAGGCTAAGGCAGGAGGACACTTGAGTCTAGGAGTTTGAGACCATGCTGGGCAATAAAGCAAGACCTCATCTCTACAAAGAATTAAAAAATTAGCTAGGCATGGTGGTGCATACCTGTATTCCCAGCTACTCAAGACACTGAGGTGGAAGGATCTCCTGAGCCCAGAAGGTCAAGGCTGCAGTGAGTCATGATTGTGCCACTGCACTGCAGCCTGGGTGACAGAGTGAAACCCCAACCCCCCCCAAAAAAGAAAGAATTCAAACACAGAAAAAAATAATTTCAAAACATTTCCCGGAAAGGTTAGGGCTTATGTAGATGTGTAAAAAAAAGAGAGAGAGGAGCAAGAATTTTCGATTAGAAGAAAAGGTCCGACAAACATAACAAAGCAAGAAGTCACAAGACTTAGTCGAAGGTTCATGTAGGAGATGAATGAGAATTAACATTAAAAAGATCCAACAGGAGACTGAGCAATCTTGAATAAACCTTAGCAGTGATCACATTCACACTCCTATTCTTGCAGATGTTGTGACACAACCAAGGTTGCACAATCTGTTATGGCAGCACCAAGGCAAGAACAGATCACCTAACTTCAGATCCTAGGCTTGCGACTCCAGAGGTTGAGGCCAAAGAGTTTAGGTAACAGGGTATCATTGACAGTTTGTGAGCAGGGGACTGAAAGGATCAGCACAGGGCTTTTAGAAGTTTAACCTAGCAGTGGTATGAAGACCAAGAAGACTAAAACAAAAGAACCAGTTAGTAGGCAATGGCAACAGGAAAAAAAAGAAAAAGAAAAAGATGTGACTTGGCGAAACAAAAGAAAAGAGAACAAGGGGTGAACAGGGTCACACAGAGAAGAATAATCAGGAGGCTCCTTGAGTGGGAGACAAGGATAAGGATGAGACCATCAAAAGCGGAAGAGAGTCCCACTGAAGAGCTATTTTCTAGAGAAAGTAATATGCAAGCGTAACACACTGACTAGTATACAGTAGGATTGTAATAAGTGTTTTTCAATTGAATGAGTTGTGTTTTCAATGTGCTGTTTGAGATAAAGACAGGAAAGGATCTCAAAAAGTAAGTGTCCTGAGCCAGTCCGAAATATGAGGCTGCAGTTGTGGAGAAAAGTCAGGTGGGAAAGAAGTAGAAACCTGTAATGTAGGTGTTATTCTGGATAAAGTAGTGAAAGTGAATCTCTCAAAAGGAAGAGAGAGGAGAACAAGGAAGAGGTGGAGAGGGAAGAGATGGGGGAGGTAGCCAAAGGCAGAGAGTGAAGAAAGGAAAGTAAGTCGATGACCACCTCTGGGAAAGGCAATGGGAGGAAGCAGAACTAATAAATTAACATGAGAAAGAAGATGAGGAGAAGAGCACTCCCACCAGGAAGAGGACTTCATCTTTTTTGATGCTCACAACAGTCCCATGGAGAAGACAAGGTCGTCGTCATTATCCTCACTTAGAAATTAGGAAACCCTAGCCAGGTGTGGTGGCATGCATCTGTAGTTCCAGTTACTAGGAAGGCTGAGGTGGAAGGATCGCCTAAGCCCAGCAAGTCAACGCTGAGGTGGCTGTGAGCGTGCCACTGCACTCCAACCTGGGCGACAGAGTGAGACTCCAACTCAAAAAAAGGAAGGAAGGAAGGAGAGAGAGAAACAAAGAGAGAAAGAGAGAGAGAGAGAAGAAAGAAAGAAAGAGAGAGAGAGAGAGAGAGAGAGAGAAAGAAAGAAAGAAAGAGAAAGAAAGAAAGAAAGAAAGAAAGAAAGAAAGAAAGAAAGAAAGAAAGAAAGAAAGAAAGAAAGAAAGAAAGAAAGAAAGAAAGAGGGAAGGAAACCCAAATTTAGAGGATCTAGGCGACTAGTAGCAATTCCATACGGAGGCTGTCCCATCAGCTGCAGCAGAAAACACATGGGTCTGGTCCGGACTCAAAGCCAGGTGCAGCACTCTGCCTCTGTGGCCTGGGGGAAGAAGGAATGACAGTTCATAGTCCATGTTACAAGGGCTATTGCTTAGGACTGTAGGCCACCTATGGTGGGGCCACACATCCCATCCCAGGATCAAGGGCTTCCCCACACCCACCGGGTTCAGAGCTGACGCCTACTTAGCCATGCTGGTACTTAGCCAGTTAAGGCTGAAGGGAGCAACACTCTCCAGCCGCTGAGGTTTTGCTTCAGTGTTTCTCCTTCAACACTCTTCCCCACTGTGTCGGGATCCTGTGGTTGCCATATCAAATTACCACAAACTAAGTGGCTTAAAACAACAGAGATGGATTCTCTCACAGTTCTGGAGATGACAAGTGTGAAATCAAGGGGTCGCAGTACTGTGCTCCCTTGGGAGGGTCTAGGGGGAATTCTGTGCCTTGCTACTGATCTTGATTCATTATATTCATAACCCAGTGAGTCACAACTCCCAGTTTAGATCCTGATCTCAGTCGCCAGGGTATATGCCAACAGCACTGTCCTTGACCCACAATGGAAATACGGACTCACAATGAAAACACATGGAAATTAAATACCTAAGCAGTCCCTGACCACACAGCAGTGCTCCCTGAAATGTGTCCATGGGCCAAGTACCTCAAGATGCTCCCTACAAAATATTTCTCAAATGTGTTTGGAAACACTGAATACCATAGCCTTCTCTTGGAGATGTACAATATACATATTTCCAATCCTTAGAAAATTTCTCAAGAAAGAAAAACCAATCAAGCTTGGCCCAGCATTACCAAAACTATTGGACCACATGACACGTTTTTGTATAACACCCATCCTACTCATCACTTTTAAGAAATTCTGTATATGGAAGAAACTGCTAGGTTAAAGATAAAAATTAGTGTCTAAAACCCAAAAGTAACCTCATCTTCCCCAACATAAACGTTTCAAGAAGAGGAAAGGTTAAATGCACTCTTTAAAATTCTGTCTAAAATATTAATTAAAATATTCACAAGCAACCAAAACTAAAGTACTTAAAGTTTATTAGGCCAGAGAAACAATGAAATGCACCTGATAAGTACATTCGTTATTCCAAGCATCAGTGAATTGATTCAGGTTTCTATCACCTGCCCCCACCTAGCTGAAAGCCCTCTCTAGCTGTTGGAATTGTCATTTTGTAAAGAACCAGGTTTTGAAGTTTGATTTCATATACTTCTCTAATCTGAAAAGGTCTAGGGAATTGCTTGACTCTATTTTACTCATGTCTTATGATTTAAAATATGAAAAAGATCAACTCATGGTCCTGCACTTTCACCTGGCCATCAAAATGGCTCTGACAAGACCGGTCTATATTCTTGTTTACCACACCACACAGTGAAACAGCTAACGAATATAAAGGTCATTCTGAGGTTGACCAGAGGTTCAACCAGGCTGACCAGAAGAGTCAAAAGTATACTTCATAAGAGTGTTTGTTGCTGTCAAATAACCTTCTCAGGATTCCCAAATGAAGTCATGATATTATCACTACCTGACATTGTATATATTTGTTTTCTGTATGTTTCCTCTCACAAACGTATAAGCTTCACAAAGACAAAGACATTGTCTCTCTGGTTCAGTTGTGCTTCCTCAGCACTCCAAAAAGTGCCTGGTATGTAGTAGATGCTTAATAAATAAGTAATGAATAAATAAATCCCAGAGATTGACCAGGAGAGCAGGTGAATGTAGAGAGGAAGAAGATGGGACATATAAGCAAGTTCTGCAAATGAAAGCCAGTCCTCTATATTTTCATCATCCAACACTTTTGTTCTCCTGTTTCCCTGGGCTGGGTAGAAGAAGACACTCACTCACCTGGAAGCCCTCTTTAACTATCTAGATTGCGCCTAAGGAGATTTAAATCCTGAGGACAGGGGCTGGGTCTGGTTTCCTATCATGGGGTCTTTCTCTCAAGAAGTACCCAGTAAAAGTTTATAGAATTAAGTTAAGAAAGAAACACAGTCTGCTTTGTAAGGGCAGATGTTCACGGACTAAGGCTCCTGGTCATTAGTGACCTCCCCACATATAATGTCTCACCCTTCCAGATCTCCATGTCTGCCTCACATTCTAGCCCTGATGTTTTTCCTTCAAAATATGATAATTTGTTATAACTCCAGAGTGCAAAAGCACAGTTCAAAAACTGCCCAAGACCACTACTACATCATCCATACACAAATGCAAGGAGGGGATATTTGACATTTTTAAATGAGAGAAATCTTAGTCAAATTCAGAAACACTCTCGGAGGCAGGGTGAGTGTAGGACTTTTTCTTCTGATGAAATGTATACTTCAAATAACCAAAAGGAGAAAATCTTTCATTCTAGGTTTTTCCCACAAACAACAGCTCACTTTGCTATAGGCACATGGCATTTTATTCACCCATTTACTTACCAAAAAACCCACCTGACCTGGACAGAGTGGGACAAGTCCACACGATCACATCATTCTTAGGAGTACCTTGGCCAGTTGCAATCTCCTTTGTCTTAGGTAGCCAGATTAAGGAACAAATCTGTAATAATACACAAAAAGTAGAATTATGGTCACTTCTGATTCATAATAAGTGTGTTTAAACTCATTGTAGACAGTATGTTCTGTCAATTATTCATGCTCTAACCACAGCTGGGGTTAGGGTGTTATAGGAATGAATTCTATTAGTTCTAGAAAAGTTTATTCCAAGGCAACAAAAGACTAAATGTCACAGTCGAAGCAGTGTTAAGAAAGAAAGGAAATTTTAAAAAAAGAAAGAAGCTAAACACAAGTTAAATTAACTTTGAACTCACAGATGAAGAGGTATTACAAAAAAGAAACTCTTGAGAACTGAAATTCCTTGTGGACTCAGTAGGTAAAGAAAGGCATGTTGGAGTCCTATGCTTTAAATTATTTTCACAAGATTCTAGAAGATTGGAATTAAGCTGAATCCCAGAAGACACGTTTACCTGTGAGTTTGTGCTTGGGGTCTGGATGCTCTTCCCAGTATTTATATCCAAGATGTGCAAGCATCCATCCTTCATCCCTCCTCCAACAGCAAGGACTGCAGACTGCCAGGGACACCAATCCATGGCCTTTATAGTTCCAAATAATATCAAAGGGTACAGGTCAACCTTGGAGAAGGCGAGCTCATGAATATAATGCACCCAGGTAAGCAGAAGTCTCAGAAGTCTGTACCCGTCACCTGGGCCTCCTATCCAAAGGCAGTAGCAAGTGCACCCTTCAGAGATGGCTTCTCAAGGACTTAGGAGTCATTTATGAAAGGAATCTCATAGGACTCTTCCTCAAATTGTGATTAACAATTGTGAATATTTTTTGCATAAAAAGATTATGCAGTAATATGGTTGGAAAGCTACATGCAACACACCCTATGGGGCAAAAATCTGCTGCTGGAGTAGCTCATGTGTGCTCTTAGAATCTGGTTCTGAAATGCAACCTTTCTCTGGTTTGTCTACTTGTGTCTTTAAGTTCCAGGTGTTGGTAAATAAATAACATTCTTTTTCAGACAAAAGAAAAGAGAGCTACATATGATTACTCACAACTCAAAAATCTCATGTCTTCCAATTCCGAATACAGTTCAGAAAATAAAATTTCCTTTTACTTATTTATAAGTTATTATAATTAACTCTGAAAAATAGGATCGAGTATCACATTTATATTGATAATTAAAATGACTAGGATTCACCTTAATTCCAATCTTCTAGAATCTTGTGAAAATAATTTAAAGTGTAGGACTCAAACATGCCTATCTTTACCTAGTGAGCCCATAAGGAATTTCAGTTCTCGAGAGTTTCTTTTTTGTAATACCTCTTCATCTGTGAGTTCAAAGTTAATTTCGATTGTGTTTAAAGAACATTTTAACAAACACTTCAGTTATATTTATCTGTATATCATTAACAATCATTCCGATAATGGTCCCTATTTTTGTACATTATCTTTTATATATAAAAATATTTAATAAAGTAGCATAGTGTTTCTACTATTTGATTTTTCTGTTTTTGCCTATTCTATAAGCAGTTCTCCATGTTTTAATATACTTTTTATAACCATCATTTTTAACAGTCCCATAATATTCCACCCAGTTGTATGCTGATTAATTTTTGTTCTCCTAATGTTGAACATGTGTTGGCTTCTTCTTTTATTGTGATTTGGTTTGTGTTGAACTAGGATGATTCTGGCCAGTGGGGGAAGAGTGAATTTTTCTGCCTTTTTATATGTTTTATTTATTGTTTGCTCTTATGAAGAACACTGTAATAAAGATATTCTATATGTCTTTTATTTCTGAAGTCCACGCCTGCTACACCAATTGGTTAGTTGTTAGTGAATGTGAGGAAATATAACTAGTAACTGTTCTTGTGATTCCCCAGGTATTGGCTGCCAGGAGACTTGGATTGCTCCAGTTTCCAGAGAATCTCTCTTAGTAAAGAGGACTTTCATTTAGTAGTTCAGATCACTGTATTTTTGACAAGACATGTGACAAGGTAACTTGTCTTGCTCGGTTTGGGTTTTCATCTATTGTTTTGCTTTGTTTCGGGGTGTGTGTGTGTGTGTGTGTGTGTGTGTGTGTGTGTGTGTGCGTGCGCGTGTGTTTGCAGACAGACTATTTTATATATATTTTTCCTAGATTTTTTCCAAATCATGCATACTGTAGACATTAAAAACTGCAATGCAGTAGCAACAATCACTATGTATTCTGTATTAAGAAATTCTATAACTTTTAAATTCTTCGTCTAATAAATGTTGCTATAGTTAATAAGGCAGACCAATTTATTTGCTCTGTAAGCAATAAATATTTTGGAACTACATTGAGGTCAAGACATACATCTGTTACAGTCTGTACCTGTCACAGGGGGGCCCCAACCCCCAGACCAGGAACCAGTATGGATCTGTAGCTTGCTAGGAACTGGGTCACACAGCAGAGAGCAGTGGGTGAGTGAGCAAAATTTCATCTGTATTTACAGCTGCTTCCCATAGACTGCATTATGGCCTGAGATCCGCCTGCTGTCAGATTAGTGGCATCATTAGATTCTCGCAGGAGCATAAACCCTATTGTGAATTGCACATATGAGGGATCTAGATTGCATGTTCCTTATGAGAATCTAATGTTTGATGATCTACCTCAGAGCTGAGGCGGCGATGCTAGCACTGGGGAGCTGCTGCAAATACAGATGAACATTAGTAGTGAATTTTGACTGTACATCCCTTCACCCTCCATCCATGGAAAAACTGTCTTCCATGAAATCCGTCCCTGAGGCCAAAAAGGTTGGGGACTGCTGTGTTAACACCAAGTTCTCCAAGAAATAAAGTATGAATTTTTTTAAAACTAGGGATAAGAATTTAAAATTCAGAGAAATAAGAAGTAAAAATGCAGAGTGTGGTGGAGCACTGGTCTGATTCTATAGCACCCTCGCTCCTTCTTCTGGCAATGAAGAAAGGGTCCTCTCTCTTGGGTGTGAATTTGTGACCCAGGTCCATCATTGTGCCCATCTTTCTGGCTGCAATTATCAATTGAAAGATAAGAATGTGACCAAAGGCAGACCAGAGTCCTCTCTGGCACTTCTCCACCAGATTTATAAAGAAAGAATGCCTTTTATCCAGTATCCATAGGGGACAATCTGAATTTGAAGCTGCATAGAGCCTTGTTGCTCACAAAATGAAATCTGAAAGAAGATTGAAATTAAACAGAAACAGAGCCAAGAGCCACAAAGATGGGTTCAGATGATATTATTCAAGACCCTAGACCCACTGATATTTGAAACCAGCTACATGTACCCAGATCTCCTACAACCAAAAAATCTGTCCAGTGAGGAGTATAAATAGGGTTATCTTTCAAGAGAGTGATGACAAAATCCAAAACAAATTCTAGAGGAAGAAAAATCTCAACATATTGTCATAATGGTTTTCTTTTTATATGTGAATGATATCCAGTGCCTCTGAGTAATAGGAAACCTAGAAAGCTGCTGGGTTTCTTACCTTAACTGCTGTAGACTGGGGTATAACTTTTAGTGCTTGGCCCTGTGCACGGGCACCTGGATCGTAGGGCCATATTGTCAGCAGTCCATCACTGCAGCCGCTGGAAAGCAGCCTGCCATCCGGTGACCACTTCAGAGCACACACAGCTTGCTTGTGATGAAGTGTCCCCACATGATGCTGGGCTGCTCGAACATCGTGATGATAAATACGCCCCAGCCTTGACCCACTGCACAGAGGTAACAAGGTTTCCGTAGCAGAAAAATTAAGCCCTATTGCTACATAAGCACTTAAAAATATGGAGGAAAAGCATAGTTCAAGGGAAACTCTCAGGACAGAGTTATAAAGCAAGGGTGGAAATTCTTTGGGTTAATAAGAAATGGAGTATTCTGCCTGAGTGATTCTTTTCACAAGTGAAATAGATTCATCTGGCAGAGTTTCAAATCTGGAGTTGAAAAGTATCTTTTGACAGATGTTTTTAATGGCTTTAATATGACATAGGCAGTCATGGAAAAATAAATGTAGAAGACTACCAGATTGTCCCAGGTAGTACCTTATATACTAGACCTAGAAAATAAAACTTTCCTACAACTCAGATTATTTCAGATTATCTCAATGAAATGGTTGTAGCATATATTTGTAGTAAAATGTTAGACATAGAAATTTATAACAGTATTTCCTTTTTCTAACAGGTATATTCCTACTGGTCCAAAGATCCACTCTGAATTTTGCTAATGTTACTAATATGTAAAAGAAATTTAAAACTAACTGAATGTCACAGCAAACTGCAATATGATTTAAAATCAGCAGATAATGTCTCCAAACACTCTCAGTAATTTGGATCCAAGCAATGACAAAGATTGCATCACTGTTTCAAAGATAATGAGATCTTTCTAGACTAATTAAATTTTCTCCAAAGAGCAAGTAAACAACTTCCTACAATTATTTATGGAATTCCTCAAAGCCCAGTATCACATTTTTAAAAACCATCTGGGTATAATGCTGAATAGCATTCTGATTATCAGTATGGGCTCTGGAGCCAGATCCCCTGGGTTCAAATCCCAAATCTGTTCCTTGCTAACCATGTGGCCTCAGGTTAGTGTCTCAGTTTACTCATCTGGAAAAAAAATCGGGGATTAAGAAAAAAACCTTATAGTGCTATTGCAGAGATTATAATGAGATTGCACACATAAAGAGTATAGCGCAATGCCTGGCACAGAGTAGTCCAAAAGTGTTAGCAGCTGTTATTATAAGAAAGGATCAGTTCATTTTCCTCAGGGATAATGAAAATAAACTTGAACAATGCAGACTGGGAAAGGAACTTGAGAACATAATTGACTTGACTGCAACAACTAAGTGGTTTGAAGTATGGCCTGTCATCACAAGGTATTAAAATCTCAAATTTAGGGCAACCTTCTCGGGGCCCCTTCTGCTGTGGGAGCTTTTCTGTCTTCTTAATAAATCCTGCTTTCTCAAAAAAAAAAAAAAACCTCAAATTTACATGTGAGCTACTTAAGGAAATTGTAAACGGTTTTGGAATTTATCTAACTTAAATCTACCCTGAGAACTGTAGTATAAAGATGAAGGGCTATTATTAAAAGCAATATATATTTAAACCAACCATGCAGGATCATAGGAACAAGTCACTTAATTTTTCTGGTTAAAAATAAGCAGTTAAACGAAATCAGCAGTTTTCAAAGTGATGCATCAGCAGCACCACTTGGGAAATTAGAAAAGCCAATTATCAGCCTCCCGGGACATAATAAATCAGAAATTCCTCAAGTGAAGCCAGCAATCCATGTTTTAAGGAACCCTCTATGCGTGATTCTTACGCATGCTCAAGTTTGAGAATCATCAACCAGGATAAGCTATGACCTTCCAGCTCTAACTTCTCTGGGTCTATGAATTGGAAACATGCCCCAGATAGCTTAACATATTCCATGGTATTGGTACTGACAGTAATAAATACTTGATTTCAGCAAAATATCCCGTTAGCAGGTACTACTTGGTATGGAGAAACCTTGTGCTTGAAGAAGATTCACATTTTATGTGAACAATTTAGTTAACCCCATGCGGAAGGCACATAGTCATCATGGTACGTGTGGCCATTAGAGCACTTACATCCCCAGATGATCTGAATATCTGGGAGGGGAGGATCATAACTGATACTATATCTAATGACTGGCTTGTTTTTATTTTGTTTGGTGTGGGTTTTAAATACCCTGAGACCTGTTCACTCAAGCCCCATAATCAATTGGTGATACAAGCATAATTGTCCCTAATAAGACGCTTCTTACCTGCTAAGGATACAGTGATTCCAGCTCAGAGCTCCAACTACTGACAAATGACCAAGCATATTTCTGAGCCGCTTTTTAGTTACCACATCCCACAACTGAAAATGAACGAGCAGAGTTATGTAGCATTGGCATTTTCACAGTCCACTGTTTTCTCAAAGCCCTAATATCCGATTAGTATTGATATTGCTAGTATTTATACTAAGCCAAAACTCAGCACCTTCAGTCAGCAGTTCTCAACTCTGACAGCATATTAGAATCACCTGAGGAGTCTGTAGAATACCATGGATGCTAGCAATTCTGACTTAATTGGTGAAGAGTCTGGGGAGATACACCATTTATTTTAAAGCTCCCCAGATAATTCAATGTGTGGCCAAAGGTTGAAAATCATTACCACACTTCTAGCTTCTTCTAAACTGTAGAAATTTCAAACCTGGATCTCTGGCTACAGTTACCAATAAATATATTAATAAAATATGGGAGCATGGAGACTTCCCAGAGTCAGAAATTCCACTTACTGCTAAATGACTCCTTTCCTACCAGATGATATTCTGATCCATGAGGAATGACAACTTTGGTGTAGGAAGAAATCATGACATAACCTTCACAGCATTCATTATCATTGCAGAGATGAGAAAGCAGTGAGAGCCATCTGTGACCCTCCTAAATCATCTAGCGCATGGGCAATATATTGTTTATACTATTGCTAATAAATAAGAACAATGATGATAGATAAGAAATTAGATAGATTGACGGAAATTTGATAAATCCCCACCTCGGAGAGCCTATCAGAAAAAAAAAAATCCACTCATTTTACATGACTCTATCCTAGTCATGGCTTCAGGTGAGAAAGGAGAACTGGAGGGGTATCTTCCTCTCTCCAGAGTTCCAAAATTGGAGATTCTACAAGCTCAACTTTAGTTTGAGAGAAAAGATATAAGGGAAAAAAATGAATTGTGACAGAAAGATTGTGAAGGAAATAAGCAGAGTATCCTTAAATTCTCATTAATTGCCATTGATTAAAAAAAAAACAAAACAACCAGAATGTTATCTCCTGTTATTCCTGTGGCTTCAAGGGTCACACTTAATCCAGTTTTTCTATTGGATAGTAACCTGCTATAAAAATAAATTCTAGCAATTACACAAAGAACATTATTAGGGAAAAAAAACTGTCCAGTACTTGCACTTCTCCCTCACTGGTGCCAATTGCCAGACAAGTTCCCTCTTTTATCCAGGACACAGAAGATACATAGTTACAAGTGAGACTTAAATCTATGTTTTCAATTCCATTGTGGTTCTCCCCATTCCAGATGTACACAGCAGATCCAAGGGCTATAGCAACGAGATTCTGAAAATTCCAGTCTAGGATATTCAGATCTATAAGAAAAACATTTCAAATTAGGGTGATTATATAGCCAAATAAAAACATTTTATAATAAACACCTTTATTTATAGGCAGGGGAGAAACAGTAATACCTTCCCTATAGTCAATTGGAAAATAGAAACATGTATCAAAGCAGATTGTTTGATGCTCAAAAATAAAATCTGGAATAGAATCTGGTGTCAAGACTCATGGTCTAATAAGCAATAATGCTTATCATTATATTCAAATATACTTATTTATAGGTATTTAAAGATGTTGGCAAATTCATCTACCATGCTAGCACATATACACTTCATCTAACAGGCCACTAAAAATTAAAAGTATATCATTCTTATGGAGACATCCTTGGGCTTAGGATATCCATACGGGAGACCCACCATCATTTCTAACCAAAAACACCACCCAACTAGAAGAGGTGGTGGCTCGTTAATAATACAAACAGGGACCAAAAACCCCATAATTTATCCATTTTTAAAATTGTGTATTTATTGTGTTTAAACTTCAGTTGCCTTGAAAGAACTCTCCATTTGATGTATTATACCTATCAAGACACTTTTTCCACGGCTCAAAACAGTTTTTGAACTTGTTGATTTTTTTTTTTTTTTGAGTTAGAGTTTCACTCTTGTCACCCAGGCTTGAGTGCAGTGGCACGCTCACGGCCGTTGCCTCAGCCTGCTGTGCAGAGGTGATCCTTCCGCCTCAGCTTTCCAAGTAGCTGGAACTACAGACGCAAGCCACCACGCCCAGCTAGTTTTTGTGATTTATTGTAGAGACATGGTCTCACCAAGTTACCCAGGCTGGAACTTTTCGATTTTGATGCCTTTTAGTGCTTTGGCTGTTTTTTGTTTCACGTTTTCCACATCAGGAAAACATTTCCCTTTGAGGACTTTTTTCATCCAAGTAAACAAAAAAAGTCACTTGGGGCAAGATCAGGTGAATAGGAAGAATGAGGTACAAAGGTCATGCCGTCTTTGGTCAAAGTACTGCTGAACATTCAGTGTGGAGTGGGCAGGTATGCTGGTAAATCACCCACTATGGAATGAGCAAATGAACTGAAAGAATCTCCAAAACGCAGCCTCTCACAACAATACTAGCTGATACACTGATGCTGATGGGTTCCTAGAACACTCACCTAGTATGGGAAGGCTGTACTACAAAGGGCTCAACCTCCAAAAGATAATTCCATTTTGGGGGGTTCTCCCCACACCTAGAAGTTCTTAGCAGCATTCTCTAGCTTATACTAATAAGAACACTTTGACTGCTAAGAGAAACCAGATTTGTACAACTATTTACTAAGATGTACCCTAATAGATGCTGGGGTGGATGCGGAAAAAAGGGAATGCTTATACACTGTTGGTGGGAGTAAAAATTATTACTCCCTCTATGGTAGTAAAACAACCTCATACAACCAAAAGTATCTACCATTTCATCCAGCAATCCCACTACTAGGTAACTACTCAAAAGAACAGAGATTGTTATATGAAAAAGACACCTGCACCCACATGTGGAATCAACCCAAATGCCCATCAACTGATCAGTGGATAATGAAAATGTGGTATATATACATTGTGGAATACTATTCAGCTGTCAAAAAGAATGAAATAATAAGTTTTGCAACAATTTGGATGGAATTGGAGAACATCACGCTAAGAAAACTAACTCAGGAACAGAAAACCAAATACCACATGTTCTCACTTATAAGTGAGAGCTAAAGTAAGGATCTGCAAAGACATAGAGGATGGTACAATGGACACTGGAGACTCAGAAGGGGGAGTGGAGGAGGGATGGAAGGACAAAAAAAATCACCTATCGGGTACAATGTGCATGGGGTGGGTGGTGAACACACTTCAAGCCCAGACCAAACACCATCTGTGCCCCCTGCAGCTATTGAAATGCTTTTAAATTACCTTTTTTCCAAAAATAAAAATAAAATAAAATGTACTCTACTTAATTTCTTATCAACAGACATTTCTATCCTGACTGACACACATCGGTACAAAACTATATACACCAGTTCCACTACAGTGATTAAAGCTTCTACAACACGTCACTCCCACTGATAACCACAATAAACTCTGGACAAAATATTTTTTAAAACTATTTAAATGCCCTGAAAAAGTAAGAAAAGGCGGTAAGCTAAATAAGGGAATCAAAACTTGGAAAAGCAACCTGTCCAGGAATGTATTTCCCACTTTTTTTCTCACAGAATTTTGCCAGAGGGCAGGCCTCGGTCACAAAGTAGTGCCTGCAGCTAAGACTCTAACAGAGAGTCCACCGTCCTTCTCAGAGAAACCAGGGAAAGGAGCCTGAAGTGGCTAAAGTGTGAGGAGAAAGTCCTAGATGGGAGAGAGCCAGAGAAAGGGATCCTCTGATTGTGTGTCTATGAACTCACACACATCTAAGCCTTACCCCTACATCATTTAAGTGCAGAGGAGACTCAAATTAGCTTAACAAACACTTAAGAACTGAACTGAGACTTGAAATAACCATAAGTCTCAACCTAGGAGAGACTGACACAAACCAGCATAGTCAGACTTTAAGAAACTGATCTAAGATTTGAAACACCACCCACAGATGATAAATGAGCCAAAACTTAAAATGTGAACATAAATAGAACAAGAGCATCAACATTCTCCACAGGACCCAGTGAATACAGCATAACATCTACAATGTCCAGGACACCATTCAAAGTTCCTGGATAAATGTACAGGTAAAACATAACCAATAGATGAAAATCCCCAAGATAACCTAGGCATAGAAATTATCAGACTTTAAAGCAGCTATTATATCCTTCATGAGGTGAAGGAAAACACACTTGAAATGAATGAAAAGATATGAAGCCTCAGCAGAGAAATAAAAAACAGAAACTATTTCCTATATAAAGAAAGCAGAAACTATAAAATAAAACTCTAAAATAGAAATAGAAGGTATAAAACCCATAAAATAAGAACTTTAAAATTCATTGCAAATCAAAACTACAATGAGATACCACCTAACTCTAGTAAGGATGGCTATCATTAATAATTCAAAAAACAGGTGCTAGTGTGGCTGCAGAGAAAAGGGAACACTTCTACACTGTTAGTGGGACTATGAGTTAGTTCAACCTCAATGGAAAGCAGTGTGGCAGTTTCTAAAAGAACTAAAAATTGATCTTCCATACGACCCAGCAATCCCCCCTCTGAAAATATATTCAAAGAAGCATAAATCTTTCTACAAAAAAGACACCTATACAAGCATGTTTATTGCTGCACTATTCACAATAGCAAAAACATGGAACCAGCCCCGTTGCCCATCAAAAGTGAAATGGATTTTAAAAAGTGGTACATATACACGATGGAATATTATGAAGCCATAAAGAAGGACAAAATGATGGACTTCACAGCAACTTGGATGGATTTAGGGTTCATCATACTCAGTGATCTACCCAGAAACAAAGAACTGAGTACCACATGTTCTCACTCATAAGTGGGCCCTGAACATTTGCCATAATACAATAAGAAAGGGGTTGGCAATAGTGGGATACTGCCAGTGGGGGGTGGGAGGGTGGGAACATAACATCAATAAGGGTACCTGATCTCAAATCAGGTGAAGTGGAGACCAAAGGGAGGCCCAAACTTTGCCTGTACGATGACCACTTGTATACCTAAACCTGAATTGTACCCCACATCTTTAACATTAAAAAAAATTTTTTTTTAAGAATTCTGGGTTGGAAGTTTTTCTTATTTTCATCATTTAAAAGATGTTTAATTGATTCTGGCCTTTGTGGTTTCTGGTGAGAATTCCATGGTTCATTTGAAACCTTGTTCTCTTGCTTCTAAGACCTGACTCCAATTGCACATATATTAGACATCTGGATTTTTATATATTGTGTGAAGTGTACAATAATAACTCAAAGTAGGCTGAGAAAGTTCAAATGGCATTGTAATCCCTAGAACAATGACTGAAAACACAATACAAAGAGATATGGCCAAAAAGCCAATAGATCAATTAAAATATAAGTTTAAAAGATATCTAAGGAATAAAGGGGTGTGGCACTCCCACATTTAGAGGATGGGGAGATGGAAGAAGAATAGAAACCAGCAAAAAAGAACAAGAAAGAGTTAACATAAAACTAGGAGGCAAGCCGGGCTCGGTGGCTCAGCCTGTAATCCCGCGCCTTTGGGAGGCTGAGGTGAGTGGATTGTCTGAGCCCGCGGGTTCGAGACCCACCTGGGCAGCGAGACTTCATCTCTACAATAAATCAAAAAAATCAGCCGGGCATGATAGCACATGCCTATAATTCTGGCTACTTGGAAGGCTGAGGCGGAAGGATCGCCGGAGCCCAGCAGGTCGAGGCTGTGGTGGCCAGGAGTGGCCACTGCACTCCAGTCTGGGCAACAGAGTGAGACTCCAACTCAAAAAAAAAAAACAAAAAACAAAAAACTAGGAGGCAGTACAAGAGAATAGGATATCAAGAAGGAAGGATTGATCAGCTGTCTCAAATACGGTTGGCAGGTTTCAATAAATGAAATATAAGAAGTGACTGTTGGATTTAACAAAGAGGAATCCTTTGGTAATGTTTGGAAGAGCAGTTTCAATGGAATGGTGAGATTTTAAACCTGACTAGAGTAGGTTTGAGACAATGTGGAGAGAGAAATAGAAAATTATGGATATAAGCACCTTTTGACAAGGTTTACTTTCAAGAGGAGGGGAGAAAAGGAGGTAACAACAAAAGTTGTTTCTTTTTAATATGAATGCTATGGTTTTAGTATTTTTTTGAAAACGTACCCTCCTTAGTTGTTCATAACAATAAATTCTCTTGGAGGAAGAGACATAGGAGCAGGGAGATAGAGGATTGTTCCCTTAGTGATTTTGCTTCTTCTAGCTCATTCCTCCTTACATATGTTCCACAGAGCCCAGGCTCCTCCCCTCTGATCTCTTTCCTACCCAGAGAGCTCACACTGGCTCTTGGCTTCAATCATAATCATCCAAACTACACACTAGTCCATCCTCCCTTTCAACTACCAACTTCATTTCTAATGATCTGTCAAGCCCTTTTTATATCTTACTGCCCCCTTTGATGTAATATTCCAGGAATAGTCTTCCCTCTTCATATCCCTTCTCTGCCGATCTGTCTTCCCAATGATACCACCCTTCTCCTGCTTCAAAAACTTGGAATAATCTTAAACTCATTTCTAATCCCAATTATTTTTCTTCATGGAGGGAAAATAAGCACTTACTCTTTGGTAGATCTTTCCTACTAAATGCATTCTGCATACTCTGCTATGAATTTTCCTTTGATGTTTCTCTTAGCCAACAACACCCAAAACCTAAATTTCTAAATTTGAGTTTCTTCACAATCTGCATCTACCTACTTATGCACCAGTTCCCAATGAATCCTCTTCATTGTCATTAATTATAATTAATTACTAACATCCTGCCTGACTCATGCTGTTAACAATACCACATCTTTCTTCTACTCACCACCCTTCCAAGTCCTACCAAACTTTCAAGATCCAGCTTAAATCTGAATATTTCCACAAAGCCTTTCTGGACAACCCTAACACTCATTGATCTCCTACTACTCCACAATATATTATTTATATTCTTCATTGGTATATTGCTGTCCAATCCACATGGGTTAGTCCAGTCTTCCAGACTAAATTACAAGCTAGATACATATCAAGCAGACCCAGTGTGGTTGTTTGGCTGATGAAATTTATCCCTGTTTAATATATTCATAAGAATAGATCACCATTAGTATAGCTCATTCTTTTTGTTTGTTTGTTTTTGTTTTAGTTTTTAATTTTGAAGATGTGGGGTACAATTCAGGGTTAGGTATACAAATGTTCATTATGCAGGTACCATTGTTGATGAAGTGTGCCCCCCCTATTCCTGGCAATTTTCCACTACTGCAAATCTCGTCTCCACACCCACCCCCCCAGCAGTTTCCAACTACTGCCAATCCCTTTCTTATAATATTATGGTAATTTTTCAAGGTTCACTTATAGTATAGTTCATTCTAATGCAGTTACACAAAACGTGTATTTCTCACATCCTACCCATTACTGAATATGAGAGATGCATAAGGAAAAATCAACTATATTAGCCATATTTGGATGGTACACCATTTGGACATGAGGCACAAAGACCATCCGGTTCTTCCATAATCAAATTTCAAGTTTATGCCAGAGCACAGGATGCATTTTGTCGTTTCAACTTTTCAATTCACAGTCTAAATGATAACTTACAGTAGTCATTTCGAAGACCAGTAAGATGAATCTTCACCTCTGGTTGGAATTTGGAATGGTTAATATCACTGGATCTTTTAAGATGGAAGGATTCATCTTTGATTCCATCTCTGCAGCCTACAAGAAACAAACACTTCTACACATCTCTATGATTCTGAAAATATAATATTTATCCTTGTGGATACTAAGAAATAGCATTAAGTAAAAAATCTTAAGTGGAAAAGAAGTGATCAATTGTGATTATAGTACAAAGAGCAGGGGAAAGGGGAAGAAAAGAAATGAAAAACACTTCAGTATTAATTTAAACAAGACTTTTTAAATTTAATGACACTTTCTAATATAAACCACATGAGCACCACACCCAAATGCAGATGACGGGTCTCATGGGGAGCACACAAAGATACTTCATCATGCTTTGACTACTTATTCTGTCATTTATTATTTTAAAACCAAAGTAAATTTTGCATTTCCATACATCTGTCACACCAAGACTTTCCTGGTAGATTCTGAGTCTTCATCAGTAAATATTCATTGATTCGTTGATTTTAGCTCTTTCCCTCACCCTTTCTTTACCAGAGCACACAGAGTTACGGCTATGGACTAATTTTACCCACGACCGTCCAAGACCAGGATTATATCTTTTGCTCGGTTTTAAGATCTCATCAAGAGACCCCTATTAAGTTCAAACCACAGGCCACTGTCTTTTCATCTCCAACCACTCGGCTCGTGACCAAACTGAGAATGATAAGAATCAAAAGAAACCAAGACCACCCAAGTGTCTTGTGGTGTCTATTACCAGATGGCTTCTGATAAAAGCATGAGAGCTTCATCAAGCTATACCAAGAAACCAAATAGTTACTCATAAATTCCTGTCTTAGTTAGCTATGAAAACCTGCAGCTGTAGGCAGAACAACAAGGTTACTAGGAAACTTCAGGCCTGCTAAAAAAGCATCACTAAAGGTTAAAAACAATCAATACCCAAAGAATCAGCAAAAAAACTCTTGGAGCTAAAGAGTAATTATAATAAGACTGTAGAATACAAGATCAATATGCAAAAGTCAACTGCATTCTTATATACCAGAAATGAGCAATTGGAATTTGAAATTAAAAACACAATGCCATTTACATTAGTACCTAAGAAAATGAAATACTTAGGTATAAATCTCACAAAATATATACAAAATCAATAGGAGGAAAACTAAAAAACTTGGATGAAAGAAATCAAAGATCTAAGTAAATGGAGAGCTATTCCATGTACAAGGATAAGAAATTCACTATTATTAAGATGTCAGAACTGAGTACCATATGTTTCACTCATAAGCAGACTTTAAACAATTATTATAATACTACAAGAAAGGGATTGTGGGAAACTGCCAGGGGAGGGAGGCGGTGGGATAGGCAGTTGAGGGAAACTACCAAGGTAGGGAGGGGCACACCTCATCAACAAAAGTAGCTGCATAATGAACATTTGTATACCTAACCCTGAATCGTACCCCTCATCTTTAAAATTTTAAAAATCTCAAAAAATTAAAAATAAATAAATCATTCTAAGCAACTGAAAAAAAAGATGTCACTTCTTCCCAAATTGATCTATAGATTCAATGCAATCCCAATGAAAATCCCAGCAAATTATTTTGCAGATATTCAAATATTGATTGTAAAGGTTATGTGGAGATTCAAAAGACCCAATAGCCATCACAATATTTAAAGACAAGAACAAAGTGAAAGGACTGACTCTATCCAACTTCAAGACTTACTATAAAGCTACAGAAAGACACTGTGGTATCGGTGAAAGAATAGATAGATCAACAGAACATTATCAAGAACCTAGAAATAGACCCACACAAATGATAGGCAACTTATCTTTGACAAAGGAACAAAGGCAATACAATAGAGAAAAGATAACCTTTTCAACAAATGGTGCTGGAACAACTGGATATCAAAATGAAACTAGATATAGACTTTATACATGTCACAAAAAGTAACTCAAAATGGGTCACAGACTTAAAATCCAAAATTATAAAACACCTAAAAGACAACATAGGAGAAAGTCTAGATGGCCTTGTATTTGACTATGACTTTTTAGATACAACACCAAAGGGGCAATCTATGACAGAAATAATTGGCAAGCTAGACTTCATTAAAATTAATAACTCTGCTCTGTAAAAACACTGTCGGGAGCATAGTAAGACAACCCACAGACTGGAAGAAAATATTTGTAAAAGACACATCTGATAAAGAACTGTTTTCCAAAATACACAAGAAACTCTTAAACCTGAACAATAAGAAAACGAGCATACACATTAAAAATGGGCAAAAGATTTGGACATGTCACCAAAGAAAATATGTAGATGACATACAAAAGTATATAAAAGTATACGAAAACATGCTCAACATGGTATGCCTGTTGCTAGGGAATGATGAGATATATCTATTAGAATGGCCAAAATCCAAAACACTGTCCACACCAAATGCTGGTGAGAATGTGGAGCAACAGGAACTCTCATTCATTGTTGGTGGGGATGGAAAATGGTACAGCCACTTTGAAAGATAGTTTGGCACTTTCTTACAAAACTAAACATACTTTTACCACACAACCTAGCAAGTGTACTTTTTGGTATTTACCCGAACAAGCTGAAAAATTATATTCACACACAAACCTACACAAAAATGTTTATAGCAGCTTTCTTCCTAATTGCCGACATGCGGAAGCAACCAAGATGTCCTTCACCTAGAATGGATAAATATAAACTGTGGTACATCCTGACAACGGAATATTATTCAATGCTAAGGAAAAATATCCTATCAAGCCCTGAGAAGACATGGAGGAAATTTAAATGCATATTACTAAGTGAAACAAGTCAATCTGAAAAAGCCACATACTATATGATTCTAACTATACAACACTCTGGAAAATGAAAAACCATAGATACAGTAAAAAGTTTGCCTGGGAAGCCAGGCATAGTGACTCACATCTATAATCCCAGTATTTTGGGAGGCTGAGGGGGAAGGATCACTTGAGACCAGGAGTTCAGGACCAGCCTGGACATCAGAGTGAGACCTCATCTCTACAAAGAATGGAAAAATTAACTGGGTGTGGTGATACACACCTATAGTCTCAGCTACTTGGGAAGCTGAGGCAGGAGGATCCTTTGAGTCCAGAAGTTCAAGGCTGCAGTGAGCCATGATCATGCCACCGCACACTAGCCTACATGACAGTGTGAGACCCTGTATCCAAAAAAAAAAAAAAAAGTTACCAGGGATGGGGGAGGGAGGGATGAACAGGCAGAGCAGAAGAGCAGAGAGAATATTTAGGGCAGTGAAACTATTCTGAATGATATTGTAATAATGATACATGTCATTATACATATGTCAAACCCTTAAAACATACAACACCAACAATGAGTTTTAATGTAAACTATGAACTTTGGGTGATGATGATGTATCAATGTGGGCTCATTGATTGTAAATGTACCACTCTTGTATGGAATGATGATAGTGGGGAGGCTATGCATAGGTGGAGACAGGGAATATATGGAAAGTCTCTGTATTTTCTGCCTAATCTTGCTGTGAACCTACAACAGCTCTAAAAAATAAAGCCCGTAGATATACATATGTGTGTGTATATGCACATGCATATATTTTCTTTATGGAATATCAGAATAATATGGGTACATTCCCTCTAGCTTCATAGGACATATAATTTGCTGTTCTAAGTCAAATATTCAGCATCTTACCAAATCAAAAACTTGTTTGTCAGACCAAAAGAAGATGGGAGATCTGAGGAAAGACATGTCTCCAAATATTTTATTTTGCTATTAAGAAAAAAATTATTCTAAGAAAAGGATAAGGTTCACTCTCTGATCCCAACCATACATTCCCAAACCTCCAAGAGAACACTTAGAAGGCCTGAAACTTTGTGTCCATTCTTATGCATCTAACTCTATTTTTCCCTTTTTTATTGCTGGGAAACAGAGGCTTGATGAGTAAACATGCATGAAGTTTTAGAAGGTAAAATTGTGTATCTATGCATTATCTTCAGAATTTTTAAAAGAAAATTTCACAAAATATTTTTAATGAAAAATTAGGACAGGATACAAAAACAGACTATATACTTTGGCAGTGAGGATTTCTCTCTCCTTGTTCACATTTATGTCTGCAAAAGACACATCTGATAAAGAACTGTTTTCCAAAATATACAAGATCTTCCCAAAGCACCCCATGGATTTGCTTATTGGAACTTATCCCAGAAGGAAAATGTAACAGGCAAGTTTCCTTGGCATTTATGAAATAAACCACAAGTTCTCTCAACAAGTTTCTCACATAGAACCCAGTCCCCCAATCGATTATTTTCAAATTATAATAACAATCTCATGAATAACACAAAGGCTTCCATGATAGCAAAAGAAAGTGGGAAGGAGAATTTGTGGGGCTCAGGATAAAATGACTTTGGGAGCTCTAAATGCAGCACAGAACAATGATCTTCTGGAAACCACCACAGGCCATTATCTCCCCTCTGTAGAGCTGACCAATACAATCACAACACTACCATCGTTTCCTAACAGCTTTGGGCACAACAGGTACACCTGAAGATCATAGGAGCTACCTACTGTGAGGTTTCAGAATCTTATCAGATATGGATAAAGCAAGAAGAAATATAGAACCTGGATAAATTTGTCCTAGTGATCCACAATGAGTAGTTACTTGGCTCATGTGGGATCCATTGCATACTTTAAATTTCCTTAAGAGAATCAGTAACAGAGCCCTACATAGAATATTCTAACGGCCTCTCAATTAGTCTCTGCCTCTTACGTCCTCCCTTCAAATCTTTTCTCAACGCTACCACTAAAGTGATCTAACTAAAGCAGATGTAACAGACTTGAAAGTCAACTTGGAGGAATGGCCACATAAGTTTATCTCCTCCGCCTCCTATTTTCAACCTTACTAAGAAACAGCAAACGACTTTTTATTTATTTTCAATAGAACTGGTTTCTTTTGTTTTGTAGCAATGGAGACTCGCTGTGTCGTCCAGGTTGGTCTCAAACTCCTGGCCTCAAGTGATCCTCCCACCACGACCTCCCAAAGTGTTGAGATTACTAGAGATCACCACTATATCTGACCAGCAAATCACTTTTTACAAGTGTAAAGACACAAAAAACAAAGCGTGTGGTAGTGAATGTGCAGTAGGCAAAAGATTATAACAATTTTCTGAAAAGTGGATAAAGGATTGGTAACTGACCAGGAGGGGCGTAAGTAACTATTCCTCAAGTGCCTGCAGAGGGAGGTGGTGAACAGCAGCAAATTGATTTGTCTGCAAAACCCCACAGGGTGTCAGGGCTCAGAGGCAGAGAAGGTTGAGAGTGAGGTGGACTGGTAGAAAGACCGAGAAGTTCCCACACGTACACATAGATCCTGCACAACCAGGTAAACACACACACACACACACACACACACACACACACACACACACACACACAAACACATGCGCACACATGCCAGAAGAAACCAGATGTTGATTCTCTGGATAAATTTTAAAAAAGACTATCTCGGCTGGGCTCGGTGGCTCAGCCTGCAATCCCAGTGCTTTGGGAGGCCGAGGTGAGTGGATTGCCTGAGCCTGCAGGTTCGAGACCTGCCTGGGCAACTTGGTGAGACCTCATCTCTACAATAAATCAAAAAATTAGCCGGGCGTGGTAGCGCGCACCTGTAGTTCCAGCTACTTGGAAGGCTGAGGAGGAAGGATCGCCGGAGCCCAGCAGGTCGAGGCTGCGGTGGCCGGGGAGCGGCCACTGCACTCCAGTCTGGGCGACAGAGTGAGACTCCAACTCAAAAAAACCCGACAATCTCTTAATTCAATAACACCAGGCACTATGGAGATTTATGGGGCTAAAAATTGATTTTGAGCAAAAATCTTTATGCAGAATTTACCTTGGTACTCTTTAACCCAATAAAGAGAACTAAGCTCCTTGCCCCTAGAATTATTCCTACTATCTATTCCCCTAGAATTATTCACTACACATTTTAGAAAAGTTCTTGCTCTGAAAGAGAGAAGCCCAAGCAAATGGGGGTTTGGAAAGGAGAGAAACCCAAAGCAAAGAAAGAGAATACAGGGAGCACAGGAATGCTTCCAAAAATTTGCAAAATAATGTTTTCAGAGAAATAGAAAATGGTATATTCATGGAGCATTAACAGGATGCTGTAAAAAAGGAATAGAGTAAATAAACTGGTATTAAAAAAGAAAGCTAGGATAGCCAAAACAAAAAATGTAATAGCAAAGTTGGTAAATACAGTTGAGGGAATCACCTAGAAGGTAGGAAAAAAGAGAGATGAAAAATAGAACAAAAAAAAAATAAGAAACTTAGAGAATTCATCCAGGAGCACTAATATAATAATTATAGAAAGAAATTTTTAAAAAGTGAAAAAATTATTAAAGAATAATTCAAGGCCGGACTCGGTGGCTCAGGCTGTAACCCCAGCACTTTGGGAGGCCAAGGTGAGTGGATTGCCTGAGCCCGCGGGTTCGAGACCCGCCTGGGCAACTTGGCGAGACCTCATCTCTACAATAAATCAAAAACCAGCCGGGCGTGGTAGCGCGCGCCTGTACTTCCGGCTACTTGGAAGGCTGAGGCGGAAGGATCTCCAGAGCCCAGCACGTCGAGGCTGTGGTGGCCGGGAGCGGCCACTGCACTCCAATCTGGGCGACAGAGTGACTCCAACTCAAAAAAAAAAGAATAATTCAAGAAACTTTGTAAGAACCATTGAACATGGGTCTCCATGACTGAAAAGGATCACAAATGAGTTTTTCATTTGTGAGTTTTTAAAAAAAAACAAGTTTTTATCATCATGAAATTTTACCACTGATGATAAGAGACTTTACTGAGAGCATCCAGAGAGAAAAGCAAAGTATAGGAAGTCAAAATAGCATATGATGTCTCAATAGCTACAATGGATGCTAGAAAACAATAAAGCAATACCTTCAAAAGTCTGAGTGAAACAAGGATTTATAGCCAGTCAAACTAAGAATCAAGTAGAATAGTAGAATAAGGACATTTTCAGACGAGTAAACCCAGAAGGAGCACAATATATCTGCCAAGAAATAGTGGATCTAATATCAAAGAAGTCCCAGGATTACAACTGTGCAACTGGCCAAGATGGCAGTCTGCTTAGCAGGCTCTGGGAGAGAGGCCGCCATGGAAAAAAATGAATCAGAGTAAGCAAATGCATGGAAAATGTTATTGATAGCTGTGGAACAAAACATCTGAGCATTTAGAGGAAATACTAATAGTGTTATAGATATCTTGGAAGTGAAAAAAATAAGGCAACTCTTAATACTTGAGAAAAACAGAGTTATAATAGAAAGGAAGCATAATTATAGTATACTACAGGGCTTGATAGTGGTAATAGTTGTGCAGTAAAATTATGTAAACATTGACTACTAACTTTACTTTTTTAAAGTGTGATATAAGCATATAAAAACTGAAGAAAGTGAATGAGGCAGGAGGAGAACTACATTCTTCTCTACTATACTAAAAAGTCATGATAAGGTCTAAAATTTCAAGAAACAGCAGTTTACCAATATTTTTTAGATGATAGATATAAATACCAGGGGGTATAGCTAGAAGGGCTAAGGGTAGTTACGTCTAGAAAATGGTACTTGGGAGTCAGGGTAGAAGATTATGAGAATTATTCAAATTTTGCAATTACATTAATTTATTCTAATAATTACTTAAAATGTTATATTTTAAATAAGAAAGAAATGAAAGAAGCAGAAAGAGGATAGGAAAGAAGGACAAGCAAAGTCTTTGTCCCATACCTCTCCAAACACATTGGGATTGCTCACAGAGCTGCATTTTCCCGTCACCCTGCTGAACTACCTTCTGGGATGCAAATAGCTGATTTAGGCATTTCTGAAAACAAACACACACAAAGAGAATCTTCTTTAGAAACACATGTGTACATCTCAGATATGATGCATGATAGAGAGCTACAACTGACAAGTCACTAAGAAGTTCAAATTGCTACTATTCATTAACTAAACATTGTAGTGAACAGTGCTGAGCATTTTACATGTATCTAGTCTCAACAACTCCATAGAGCAGGCGCTACTCAGCTAGAATAAAATCCTTTTTATTCTTCCAGCCTAAAAATCTATTTAGCCTATAAACTATAGGCCAGTGATATCACAAAGTCTACAAAAACTGAAATGTCATGATATTTCTAGTACTCTCTGAAATTAAAAGACCGCCCCAAAATAATAAAATTGAACATTAGTGAGACAACATTTTGCAACAAACATTTCTCCCAAGGAGTGTTTCTCAGCACTTAAACCAGAGTTGTTCTCTCAATTTGTTACTGAGATTTTCCTCTGGGCCTCAATTTTCCTCATCTGTAATATGTTTGGATTGAATTAATCATTAAAGGTTCTTTTTCATTAACACCTTTACCTGTTAGAAATAGAGACATCAAGTCACAGAGATTTTTAGTAACTTGACTAAATTTCCATGACAACAAAAATCTAATTGTTATCTCTTTCGGCCTGTATAACAAGAGAGCTTTCAACATTCTTACATCCAACATTGATTTAAAGAAAAAAAAACAGCTAGGAAAATTAGCAGTAAGCAAAAACAAAAGAACTTACTGGAATTTTCTAAAAACATAATGATAGTTAAAGCAGACAAGATTCTGTTTTGCTCTTTCAGAAGAATATATTTGATCTCACCTATATGACAATCACTGGATCACCACAGTTCAAGCAGATGTCTGACAGTCATCACTAATACTTTGTTTTTCTTCCTCAATGTTATGTCACATAACAGACATTGCCAGGCAATATATCATGGCTTTTAGGTATTCAAGATAGAACAACTAATTACAAAGCAGAGTTTCCCAATCTTGGCACTACTGACATTTAGTAGCAGAAAATTTATTGTTGTGGGAGCCGTTCTGTGTAGAATATTTAGCAGCCCTGCTGGCCTTTACCCATTAGATGCCCACTCCCTGAGTTGTGACCAAAAAAAGTCTTTAGATATTGCCAAATGCCCCCAGTAGAAAAAAATCACCCCCAATTGAGAACCACTAGTATAAAATAACACTCCTAAAATAGCCTGCTGGCCAGTAACTCAGTGAACTCTTTAGATACTCACTTCTTCAGAATCCCATCGTTATCACCCAACTGACCACAGCATAGTCCAGGACACGCTTCAGCTCTGCGGAACCAGCAAGTTCTTTCTTAAGTGAGATCTACGTATTACACTAATTAGCAACTTAACATGGAGCTCATTGAATATGTATTCTGAAAGTCCCTACAGCTATGTAGGCCCTCGTGTGGAATTACCCTCCAGATGATCAGTGAGAACCCACATATACTTACTGTAAAAGTGAGTGTGTATCTTCACACTCTTAATGCTATTGGATTTCTAACAAGCCATGATGGTAAACGCTCTGCATTAAGTAGTAAAACAGCTTCCATTACTCTCTGCCCAGATTCTTCAGTGAAGCTGAGGTGATGTTCTAGCTGGTATAACAATTGCTATAGGATATATCTTGCCAACACCATTATCAGCCCACAAGACAGAGCCACCAACCTTGCTGCCACCAGTTACCAGAAAGGATAAGGGAAGGAAAAGGGAAGTCCTGAGAAATAAGACAGAAAAACCCCAATCACCAGCGGAGGGTGAAAAGGACTGGGGTGTTAATAACCTGGTTCAAGCATGAAGCCACCAGCACCCTCCAATTATTTCAATAGCACTCCCTGGACATTCCCTACTCCACAAACCCGTACCCAGCAATAAAGCACTCATCAAAAGCCCTGCTCTAAAACATGTTTCCAACTGCACATGAGCTCAAATAATTTATATTTGCAATATTTTATTGTTCCTCTAGAAAAATATATATGTGCCAAACACAGAAAGAGACACATACTAAATGAGTAGTTTTGCATAAAATTGAGAATTTATGACTTTCCTAATTCAAAGCTTTTAAAATGAAACACTGATTTCTTCAAAGGCTCTTCACTGGGTTTGATAAACCTGAAAACATGCTTATGATATCTAATAGGCTCAAAAGATTTAGGCCAGACTCCTGAGATCTGAAAGCCATAATAAATAAGAGATACTCATACGGATTTTTCAGGTCAGTTCAGGCGTGGAGAGTGTCAGCTCAATGGGTCGGCCAGTCAAGCCCCAGAGAGTGTCAGTTCAATGGCTGACAAGCCTAGCCCGAAGAATGTTGGCTCTAATGGGCTAGCAAGCCAAGCCCTGAGAGTGTTGCAGTCCCCAGAAGTGTCTCAACTTCATAGTCTCGCCTTCTGCCAACAGCTCTCCTGGTTCAATCAGCTCCGTGGGCTGGCAAGCCAGCCGCTGGGGCGGGGAACGCGTGGCTCGTCAGGTCAGATGATCTTCACGTCTGTCTCATCCCCAGGAAGAATGAGGGACACAGATGGCCAGAAAGTAGAGAAAGCAGGATTTACGGAGAGGACAGAAAACCTCCCAGTGTAGAGGACACCCTGGGAGTTGAAGATTTGGAGCTGAAACCTGATGCTTATAGCTCTAAGATCCAGCCAATTGGCTAGCACTAGCTGTGAGCTGATTGGTCAGCACTAGTTGTGCTGATTGGTCAGTACAAAGGACCAATCTTCAGGAGGTAGGGGCCTAATGTTGAGCTGATTGGTTGGCACTTGGCAACAAGCTGATTGGTTGTTTTTCAAACCCAGCGATGAGTACTTAAGCTCTAGCTTGAGAGGCTTGTAGGAAGCTTGTTTACCAACATGAGTGTAATAGCGAGTATAGTAGTTGGAGAAGCCTGCCAGGAGCTCACTATATTGCTACTGGGGACCAAGGCTTAAGGGAAATATGTAAAAGATCATAAAGAATGAATTTAACTTATCCTGAAAGACCCCAAAGGAGACCACATTACCAAACAGTTGGACATGACTAAAGCAAGAAGTATTTTGGCTGAGAGGAAGAATACCAGAGTTAAGTATAATTTGATTACATTTGTAACCTTAACCTTTTTGATGGTCATTTTCATTTTCATTTTTTTGCTTGGCCCTAACTCAACACTTTCTCATGTATTTCAGAGATATGGTCTTTCTTTTACAAAGTGGGTCTATTCATGTTTTTCACTCATTCATTTTTATCATCAGGAATCTATCATTTTCTTATTGATTTGTAAGAGCAACTAAGCAGCTCTTTTCTCACATTTGGGATTCAGTTGTCTGAGCTTCTCAAGATGTGGGATCTTCAGTTACTTCTTTTTAACTACCTGATCTTTTGAGGCAACATTTTCCTTCCAGTCTCTGTCCATTGCACGAGGTGCCTTGCAGAAATGAGGAGCAGAATTACTTGTTTCAGAAATTCCTTTGAATTTCAGTGGTTCTTTGTAGGATCCTACAAGAAAGACATTTAGGGAGGGGGAGACACGCTTCATCAACAAGAATACCTGCATAGTGAACATTTGTATACCTAACCCTGAATTATACCCCCACATATTTAAAATTAAAAATTTTAAAAAGAAAGACATTTAGCTTTGAATTTGGTTTTTAAAAATAAATAATCAATTTATTGGCCATGGCACCTTTCACAATGGGAAGGCCCAGCCCCTCTTCTCTCCAAAATTCAGTGGGAGGGGAGGCCAAAACAGGTTCTTATCCAGAGTGCTGAGTTCACATGTTTCTCACTCAATGAGAAATTGCCTCCATGGCCTCTAGAGCAGGGAGGAAGTGCCAAGATTAAAGACTTGACTTCAACTGCAGCTGCAGCAGTAATGCTTTATTCCACATGAAAAGAATAGACTTGTGCATTCGAAGAATGGATAGAAACAGTTCAACAGTTTAAATGACGGTGCAAAGCGTAACTGGCTTGCCCAAGCTATGATCATCCTGCCAGGAAAGCACTGTGGGAGGCTTGCTTTGCCAGATATTGACATTCACTACATGATTATGAGCAAATCACTTTGCCTCTCCCCCTTCCTGTTGCAGAAAGATGTAAAGGTAGTTGGCAATGGCATCAGTGAAATACTTTCTATGTTAAAATAATAGAAATCAATGTTGTGTGCCTCAATGTCATTCTTATCGATTCTCTTCTCAAGATTGACAAAGCCCTTTACCAAATTTTAACGCATTGCAAACCTGTCAAATTGTGCTCTAAAACTAAATTATTTCCCATATCACTTGTTCATAAGAGTGGCCAAGGGACCGTAAGAAAAATCGTAGCAAAATCATGTGACAATCTCTTCTTAGGTGGACAACTATGAGTTTGATAAATTGTCACTAATGTTCTTAGAGCCTGGCACCTCAAGGTCTAGGACATTCAAAATTTAAGAGATATACATCACATCTAGGGAGAAGGAGGATGAAAACATAAAATGTTTCTCAAAGTTCTAGATCTGGTTCTGAAAAATTATGCATGCTTGTTTTCTTGTGCTATTTGTAGAAGAGTATAGCAGAGAAAAACCCAGTTCTCAGAATCTCAAATGAGAAAGAAAAAGCTGCAATTGGGTGTTAGTGCTGACAATCATCCCAGTTATACACAAACACATCAGGTCCATCAGCCTAAGAAAGCAGGGACCACTCTGGTTTTGTCCACAGAGCATGACTGCAAATGAGCCTCTCTGTACAAGTTCTGTTAGGGATGGGAGGATCTTCAGTGTCTGCTCTTCTGAAGCAAAAATAAAGAAATCCCACCATCAAAGCACTGCATCTGATTCATGCCCAGTTTTAACTTAAGTAGAAAATAAAATGGACTTTATTGTAAAATCCTTTTGACTAATATTTGTTTCTTGGAATTCTGAATTTCTCAAACAATGCCTCACTAAAAGAAAAGTCAACAAATTAAGTGAGAGCCTAGAAAGGAAAAGGAACCCCTAATCTGAGCCAGAAATTCTTCCAAAACAATCAGCATCAAAACCATCCCACAAAACCATAATAAAAAATACTGATTAATGAAAAAAAAAAGAATAATAAAATTGCTGTGAAGCAAAAAAAAAAAAAAAAACCATCCCTCAAGTACAATGGGATGCAAAAGATTTCTTTTTGAAGATAACCCTAACAACGATCTTTTATCACCTACTTCTTCAGTCAGCTACTTAAAATATTGATACTTGTCATTACATGGGAATTTCATTGGTTGAAGAAATCTGAGCTCTCTTTCTATCAGCAGAACTGCAGTGCATCAATGTGTCTAATGTTACTGAGAAGAGGTGGTACTTCCATTCTCATTTATCTTAGGCCAGGCATGACAGCTCACACCTGTCATCCCAGCACTTTGGGAAACCAAGGCAGGAGGATCTCTTGAGCCCAGGAGTTCGAGACCAGCCTGGGCAACATAGTGAGAACTTATCTCTACAAATAATAAAAAAATTACTCAAGCATGGTGGCATGTGCCTATATAGTTCTAGCTACTTTAGAGGCTGAGGCAGAAGGACAGCCTGAGTGAGCCCAGGAGGTCAAGGCTTTGGTGAGCAGTGATCATGCCACTGCACTCTGACTCAAAAAAGTGAGACTCAGACTCAAAAAAAAAAATTGTCTTAAATAAATGTGCTGGTAGTCAAATAATTGTGTTGCCTAGGATTTCCAAAGGAAAGAACAGGAATTAAATCACCAGATAATAGGTGGCAAATTTTGCTTCTAAATAATGAAAATAAAAATGGCTGTGCCCAAGTGAAAATTACATATTTCAAAAGAGAGTCTGTGATTTAGAGTTCTGGCATGTTGATCATGCATCCTGTCCATCACATTGGTGCTTTGGTGCCCATTCCCTATCTGTGCCCCAGGACAGGCGTCAGATTCTCACTCTCATCTGTCCTTCTCTTTTTTTCTTTCTTCCCCTCCTCTTGTTATCTCTCTCTCTCTCTCTCTCTCTCTCTCTCTCTCTCTCTCTCTCATCTCTCTCTCTTCCTCCATCAAACCATCCCGCCATCTCTCCCTCTCTTGCTTCCTTTCTTTTACTTTCTGTTCTTCTCAACCTCTCCTAATTTCATCCTCTTCTTCTATTTCACACTTGAAAATTCTGTTGCTAATATATATTTTTTCTGACCTCCATAGACCAGGAACCTTACCAGAGTTATTAAAATTCTATACTTTGAAGAACAAAAACATACACATTTGTGTGTATGTGTATATAAGTATACACACATATTCATATATACAATCTTTACAAAGTAATCATCTACCAAGGCAAGTCTCAAAAACGTTTAAAATGCAGCATATCTTAAACTAAATTTGGCATGAGGATGCCTCTGTGCTTTGAGTCCCTACATCATGAACTGCAACCTAACTTAGGATGCAAACTAACTGAAAGCCTAACTTAGCAGGATACTTAGGAAAGCCTAACTTGGGAGTATACTTTTGTAACAAACAACTGAGTCTCAGCCAGTCACAGAATCTGAGCTCAGTCAGTCACAGGCTGCCAACTGATCAGACCCTGTTCAAATATGGCAAACACTGAGCTGCAATCAATCAAGCTACTTCCGTACCTAAGGTCCATTTTCTGCCCATAAATGCTGCCTGCCTCCATGTTGCAGAATGGAGCTGTCTGAACTTCTGGTTCTGAGGGCTACCTGATTTGCAGATCGTTCTTTGCTCAATTAAACTCTGTACTTTCTTTTGTTCTTGTTTCATTTCCCTTTGCCTTAGAAATTTCTTATTCAAAGGTAGAAAAACAGAAAAGCAATTGACTAAATGTGGCAATAGATAGTTCAGCAAGACAAAGGTTCTCTCCGGAATATATCATTTATTAACCTTTCAAAACTGGGCTGTGGCATGTCTGTCACCTCACCTAAAGTCAAGGTCTCTTTCTCAGGCGTTATCTTCAGCACTGATCCAGATTCTGGTATGTAAGTGGTTGAATGTTCTTCCCCAAAGGAAAGGGCTGCCAAATCCCTGGTTTGACTTTGCTGCCATCTTGTGGTAATTGGGCTACTGGCAACAGGAACCTCGGCTGACATCCTCTTCACAAAGTTGCTCTTGAAGTTAGAATACGTAGTATTAACTGGATCAAATACCTGTTAAACAACAAAAAGAGCTGAAATGTATAGTGGCCTTAATGATACAACAGGAAAGATCTCTTTACAAAGAACTACAAAGGACTCATTTAGTACAACACAAATAAAAATAAAATAAAAAATGAGTTTTTTAATGTATGTAATCAAGGTGCCTGTTACGACATATATACAAAAACACCAAAATGTTCAAGAGCCTACGTATACCAAAGTAGTTTAGGTAGTAATTATATGTATGATTAATTTCATTACATACCAATGTAAAATATGAAATATGGAATAACACTATATACAAGATGTTAATATAAAATCATATTTCAAAACTGGAAATAAACAGCAATTTTCTAGTCCAATCCCTTCATTTCATAGATGGAAAAACTGAAACCTAGAGAAGGTAAGTAATTTGCTCAACATATGTCTATGCTCTCTGAGAAACACCCTGAGTTTGATATTTACAGATCTTATAGTAATGAACCATGCCATGTAGCTATGTGAAATTAAAATGCAAGTGGCAAACTGGAAGTGGAGTTTTTTTAACAAAAGGACAAACAAGCTAGGTTAATATCCTTGTTATAAAGAGCTCTTACAGAAATTTAGACAAGTTTACCAACCCAGTAGAAAAACTGGCATTTCGTAAAAGAGAAATACAATTCATAAGAGATATATAAATGCCTGAAAAATAATTATTCTCACTAGCAATCAAAGAAATGCAAATTTAAAACAACAATGAGATGTAATGAATTTTTTGTGGTGATCCCATGTCAAAGATGCTAGAAACAAACACTGGCATACGCTGCTGATGGAATTGAAATTAGTATTATTATCTAGAAAGAACATTTTGACAATGTGTGTCAAAAGCCTTCAAATATGTACATAACTTCTACTGACCCAGTAATGTCACCTCTAAGAATTTAAGGAAGAAGCCGGGCTCGGTGGCTCAGCCTGTCATCCCGCGCCTTTGGGAGGCTGAGGTGAGACCGAGTGAGACTCCAACTCAAAAAAAAAAAAAAAGGTAAACCTAGAATTACCATATGACCCAGACCCAGCAATTCCCCTCTAATATGTTCTCAAACTCTAATACATGTACATATATATTCATAGTAGCACTATTCACAATAGCCAGAAGGTGGAAACAGCCCAAGTGTCCATCGACAGGTGAATGGATGAACAAATCATGGTGTGTATGTGTGCACATGAAGGAATATTACTCAGGTAAAAAAAGAGAATGAAGACTGATATTTATTACAACATGCATAAACCTTGAAAATATTATGCTAAGTGAAGGAAGCCAGACACAAAAGGTCACATATTGTATGATTTCATTTATATGAGATATCCAGAACAGGTAAATCTACTGAGAGAGAACACAGGTGGGTCATTGTCAAGAGTTGGGATGAGGAGGAAATGGAGAGCAATTGCCTGATGGGTATGGAGTTTTATTTTTATTTTTATTTTTTCTTTTTTTTGAGTCGGAGTCTCACTCTGTCGCCCAGACTGGAGTGCAGTGGCCACTCCCGGTCACCGCAGCCTCGACCTGCTGGGCTCCGGCCATCCTTCCGCCTCAGCCTTCCCAGTAGCCGGAATTACAGGCGCGCGCTACCACGCCCGGCTGATTTTTTGATTTATTGTAGAGATGAGGTCTCGCTGCCCAGGCGAGTCTCGGACCCGCGGGCTCAGGCAATCCACTCACCTCAGCCTCCCAAAGGCGCGGGATTGCAGGTTGAGCCACCGAGCCTGGCTTGGTATGGAGTTTTATTTTGGAGTGACCCAGCAATTCCACTCAGGTATATGTTCTCAGCATATGTACAGCCCCAGAGACTGAAGGAATCTGTCAAACTCCAACACTCATGTTTCAGCCCCAGCAAGAACAACAGGCAAGAGAGGTACATTGTCCATTTTATAAAAAGAAGTTAGAAATTTAGACTTTTCATACAAATGTCCCCACTTGCTCAAGTTTTTGACTGATTCTAATTTTCTTAAAACACTATAGGACTAGGCAGAGCGTGACTGTGGGCCACATGCAGGCATGGGCTGCGTTTGCAAGCTCTGCAGGCCCGGCCAAATAGCCCTTCCCTGCTCAGGTACCAAGAAAGAGAGGGGCCACCATAGTGAAAGATAGATTTAATTTGCAAAAAAACAAACAAAAAAAAAAACAAAGGAGACGCTCAGATCTTACCTTGGAGTCCCAAAATTTAAATACACATTAAAAAACAAAGTCATTCTGAGTTTAAAAGTAAAGATGAATAATTTGATGTCAGTTATCGCCTCTAAAATGATTAAGAAATTGCACGTTGACAATCTCACACTAACTTGGCAGGTCTGTGTTTCTCTGGCTCTTCCACTGTTACCCCGCCCACCTTGAATATTTCCCACTTGAGATGCTTTTTCCCCAGTTCTCTGCCAGGTAATTCCTAGCTCACCTTCACAGCTGGGTTCAGTCATCAACTCCTTCAGAAAGGTGTCTCTGACATCCCTTTCTCTCCATCCCAAACTAGGTTAGGCCACTGTGGTAGGCTAAGTAATGGCCTTCAAAGATATCCAGATCTTAATCCCCGAAACCTGTCAATGTTAGCGTATATGGAAAAGAGGCTATGCAGATGTGATTAAGGATTAACTTAAGTTGAAGTGGGGAAAATATTGTGAATTTTCCAGGTGAGCCCTAAATGCAATCACATGTATCCATGTAAGAGAAAAGCAGAGAGAGATTTGACTGCACACAGAAGAGAAGGCAATGTGACCACAGAAGCAGAGATTGGAGTGACACGACCACAAGCCAAGAAATGGCAGTCATACCAAGAAATTGGAAGAGGCAAAGGATGGATTTCCCCCCAGAGAGTTTCTGAAGGAATCAAGGTCGTGCTGTCATGTTGGGTTCTGCCCAGTGACACTGATTTTGGACCACTGGCCTCCATAACTGTAAGAGAATAAATGTGTGTTTTAAGCCACCAGGTCTATGATAATTTATTACAGCAGCCATAGGGAACTAATCCACAGCCTTCCAGTGCTTCCACACTCCCTGTGTGTGCCTCTAACAAAGCACTACTACATAGTAGTAATAATAATATGTACCAAATGTTGACATTTAAATGTTCCAAGCATTGGAATGTACAAGTTAGATGGAATGTTTATTTAAGTTTCATTACAATCCTGTGAGTTAGGTACCATTACCTCCCCCATTCTAAGAAGGGGGAACTATTCAAAACCTGAGAGCATTTGGAGAAAAGGGACCACAATGACTGGGGTCAAAGAAAACAGTTTACTACCAGTGCCCTCTATAGTATAAATCTCACCAGACTCACATTAGCCTGAAAAAAATCTCCCATGTGATGTAATGTATGAAGTTTAATGGGGTCAAGTAACCTGAGCAAGGATATAGAGCCAACAAGTAATGCATCAAGATTCAGGCCACCACATATAGCTGGACAGACCATTGTCTCAATGAGTGGCACCCTCTGGAATATGCAGCGCACACCTTTCACAACCAACCAGTGTCACCCTACAAAGGTTTGAACTCTGACAAGTCGATCTAGTCCCTATGCTTTAAGCACCTCGGCTCATGTTCTACTTTTTTTACTATTTTAATTTATTTTCTACTATATCATACACTCCTTAAGACCAGGGACTTTGTTTTTTATTTTAGTGTCCTCAGTGCATAGCACTAATGAATAAATGAATGAGTCTCTTCCCCTAGAGGCAATTAGTGCTTTAAGAAAAAAAGGCACAAGAGATTTAAGATGGACTCCAGAGGCAAGGAAATAACCCATTTTCTTTTGTTCCCCTCCATTAACAATTCTCAAATTATACAGAGCAAAATAAACATTTCTGCAGAAACCAGAGGGTGAGATAAATGAAGCAATAAGGGTGCAACTGGGCATTTTAAATAAGTTCAAGTGTCTAGGACTAGATAAATGAAACCCAAAATGCTGACATTTCTGAGCTGATATGTGTTAGTGATCTTTGAAGAAAACGTGATAAATAAAAACATGCTCCCCCATAGACAAACGCATGTTTTTCGTGGTTTTCCAGTAAAAAGAGCAAGTAATCAGAAATAAGTTTGCTGACAGTGCACTAGATGACATAAGCCTTGCCAGATCCATCTTAACCTGAACAAATCCCCCTCACTCTGTGATATACTGAAGGGTTTTGTCCCCAGCCTTCACTGTTCGCCTTATTGTCAGTGGCTTAAATAGAGATTTATCAAAATTGTTCATTGCTCTAAGCTGAAAAGAGAGTTAAGATATTAAAGGACAGAAATAGGATTCGGAATAAAGTCTGGGGCATGTACCAACACCAGCAAAATTAAATTCAGTAAGAATGCATGAATAGTCTTCCCATGTAGATTTTTTTTCAATGCACAGGCATAAGATAGAAGAGTACTGACATACAGCAAAAAACACAGGCAGTGTTAGACAATCACCACAAGAATAGGAGTCAAAAGTATAATGAAATAACTTTTTAAAAATCAGTACAATTTGAGGTTCCATTAAGGGAAAAAATTGTGTCTAGAATAGGAGCAAGCAAAACCCCTGGTGTCTCTGCACCAGTCAGACCTCATCTGAAGAAACACATCCAGTCCCTGAACTGTTCTTTAAGAAGGGAGAAGATGAATGACTCAGGATTCAAAACCCTGAGCTCATTTGGAGAAAGGGGACCACAATGACCGGGGTTGAGGTAAACAGTACTGTGGCAACACCCCAGCACATGTGAGGGTCCTCCTCACATGGAGTGCGAAACCCGGAAGTGCTTAGTCTAGAAGAAAACCCAAAAGAAGCCATCTTCAAATATTTAAAGGGTTGTGATTTATGAAAACAATTAAAAACTCGCTTTGCATTGCTCCCTATTTCAAACTCAGGACCAATGAATGGGTGGAGGCAAATTTTTATTCAATACAAAAAATGTAACTCTGAAAGAATTAAGCATAATTTCCCTTAACAGTTTGAATATAAAGTACAATTCCCAATCAGGCCTTGTACTAGGAACATATGGCTTGTAGTGTACAGGTG